CTTATTTTCTAATAATGTTGTGTATGAATGTTCCTATTTAAAATCGGAACGTTTACACACTAAAAAATTCAAAATTCTTTTTAAAATACTGGGAGTTACTGCATTATAGTAATATTTCCATTTATAATTAGTAGTTTTTACTTAATAGCAATATCACCTAACCGCTAAAAATTAATACATAATTTTAAGATTTAAAACTATAAGCTATTGGAATTAAAATTAAAAAAAAAAAACTGAAAGCAATTATTGTAAAAAAATTCTTATTCATTAAAAACATTTAGACAATAGTGGCCAGCATATATCTTTTCTAAAAGCAATTAAACTTTTCTAATTAAATAATGTCTTAGTTTTATTTCATTTTTTTTATGATTCACGGCAGATTTTCTGTAACTGAGGGTCCTGTTTTACAAAAAGAAATTGAGGATTTAATTTCTTCCATGACTTGTGTTTATAACTAATTTAAACATTAAGCCCTACAAAAACGAATTTCACAAAATTAAATAATATAACAGACATAAAAAATATATTATCAAGATTTTCTAAAAAAGAAACACTTCTAAAATATTTTTTTTCATTTGTGAATAAATCTTGAAAGTTTCATTAATTCAACAATTATTTGATTTTTGCAAGAATTTCCAAATCAGTGTTTTTCACCGCAAAAAGAGGCTAAAATTTCCGGTACTAATTTATGGCCTTCCCGCTGACGCAAGAAAAAAAATATTGAAGGTTTTACAAAGGGTTAAGAAATATAATTTAATAAAAAAATCTTTTGATTTTCCTCTTAATAATAACAAAGATTTTGACAATAAAACGTTTTTTTACTAAGTTTGGATCATTGTTCCATCATATATGCTCATTTTATAGCGAATCTTTGGAAGTATATATATATATATGACGCCACACACTACGAAAAGGACAAAGTACGACAATTATTTCAAGTTATCTCCTGTATATGTTATTTTTATAGATACAAATATTTAAGTAAATAACAAACAGTATTAGTATTTATATATATATATATATATATATATGACAAATTGGAAATTATATTATTTCCAATTTGTCGTACTATTTTTTAAATAATGTTTGTTGATATAAAATTATATCGTTATCATATATATATATATATATATATATATATATATATATATATATATATATAATTTAAAGGGATGCTATAAATAGCATCACTCTCTTGCAGATTGACCTGTCACTTGTCGAAACTCAGTACAATCCGTGCACACATCGACCAGTAGATCATGAATGATGAAAATGTAAGTCTCAACATCCAAATACTCTACAACACCCAATGCAAAGATTCAAAACTCTAAAAAAACTATTATCACACAAAATAATCAGCCCGTATTAGATAAAATATCATTCACCAGTGTCTTGGAAGTGCATATATCATTAATATGCGCTTATATTATAGTAGTATTATAAAAAAATAAATTGTATTCTTTCTGAACGACCTCGATCCGAATAGCCGTTACACATGATGTCATGTCAGACCATTTCAAATGTCCAACATTTGAATGAATGCCAAGATGCAGAGGAGGTAAAACTACCATCAGACATCACATCGGTTCTTGATAATGACTGTGAAAGTCAAAAGTATTTAGACAAAATATTAACTTTGGACAGTTTATCCACAACTTTAAGCACAATTCTCGGCAACTTAATGTTTGTTTAAAAAAGCCTCACGTTCATTAGCATTTGCGCAGCCGTGTGTAAAATCATCTGCCTGCTCGTGATATGAATATTATGCCATTGTCAAAATTCTCAGTTAAACGTTGAAGCCACAAATGTACACGAATGACAAATGTAACCTCGTCTACATTGCCATCCACCATAAACTTTCTTTAAACTTAACTGAAAAACAAAGGATTTGTATACATGTTTATGGCCTTTTGTCGGTGTGGAGAAAACCGCCCTTGAAGTTTGTAAAAGAGTATTTTATACACATTGTGTATAATGTGATGACAGACAGATTTCTTTCAGTTGTTTTTTTTTTTTTTTTATCTCGTTGACATACTAAAAGTTTTCAAAATTACAAAAATTGTCTCCTCCTGTGCATCTTATTTAATAAAGTTTCTTTTTGTTTAACTGGGTTGAATTTCAAAGTCAGTGGGCGTTAATGACCCAAGTGAGAAGATTACCAATCCTTTTTTCGTGGAACTGGAGAAAGATTTTTATGACCTCTGCTCAGATGACGCTAATTATCAGAGATGCAGTGAGTGGTTAACAACTCTCTGCCACGTTATTTTCTTAAATGTGTTAAAAGGCAAGAATAGAAGAGTCTTCAATAAGTATAATTATGATTAAAAAAGAAAATGCTTATATAAATGGGAACTTGCAAATAAAGACATTATCTGGTCTATTGGGTGATTAGAAAGAGTATAATGATAATAATAATAACTATAAAAATATAGTACTAATAGTTTGTTTAATGGCATACCAACTACTTATGGGTCATTTAATGCTAAAATTTAATTTTCTTGGAAGCTTTGAAGTAATAAAAATATGAAAAATGTTATGCTTTCACAGTTGAATACATGATGGATGATACTCAGCTTTTGTACATATTTGTGTGGACATGATTACTAGAGGCAGTGATTTGTTTTATCATGTCTATTGTATTTTGAACTGTTGTTCATCTTAGTTATATTCACAATCTGAAAAATTACAACTGAGTTGTGAGTTCGATCCTCACTAAATGCTCCATAGTTTTGGCCTTGTGCCACATTTAACCTGTGCTTAAAAAAATCGCCGTCCATTGAGGATTGAAAGAGGCAGACATTTTTATTCAAATTTTATGTTTATCATATAACATTTAATATTTTCAATTTTTTAAAAAAAAAAAAAAAAAAAAAAAGGCAGGATAACATATCAAGTTGCATGAAACAGTGGTATTTAGCCTGATATTAAAAAATCCTGTTTCCTTTTAAAGTGATTATTTTTCAATCCCCTGATTTCCAAGTTGGTGGAGAAAATGATTTTTCAAGCCAACAATGCCACTGTACAACACGTATGAGAAAGCTGCATATCTGCAGAAATAATAGAGAATTTGGCAAAGTTTTACCGGTTAAAAAATAAATAAATATGGAGTGTTAAAAGGACAGTTTTTTTTTTTTTTTTTTTTTTCTTTACATGACACTGTTATGAATGTAGAGTGGCAATTTTTAGTTTCATATTTGTAGAATTTTAATAAAACCCAAAACACATGAAACTGGATATATGCATTCTCTTTTTTTTTTTATCAAGATGACAACAAAAGAATTAAAAAAACTACTCTTGTAAATAAAACAGTCTAATAAATAAATAGTGTTTAATTTTTGTTGTCAATTCTGAAGGAGGAAAAAAAAATCCTCATGATCGTAATCTATTTTAATGAATTTATGTGGTGAGAGAAAATGAAAGAAATTCCTGGAAAATGCAGTTTTACAAAATTTAGGAGTTACAGATGTTTCTTTAAATTTTCTTAAGACATTTTTATAAATTTATCAATAAACCAAAAGAAAAGAAAAAAGTCCTTTTGACACGTTTTTTTTAGTAGGTATGTTTATTAAACTTTGCCATTAAATCGTTAAAGAAAATAACTGCAACAACAAAAACCAAAGATGACTGAATGCTCAACAATAAGTTACCGAAATGTTTTTCAGATGCTTAGAGTGTAACACAGTGATGAGGAGGAATCTGCTATTTTTCTTCAAGTTTCTGAATCAACAATTCCTTTCAGGATTGCCTCTTCATGAATTGTAATTAAAAAAATAAAATAAAAAAAGACTAGACATGCTTTCAAAGAGTCAAATCCAAGAATTTGGCTTGGAAATGAAACTTGGTCATCCATTAATGAACTCACAAGAAATGAATGCCAACAATGAAGAATATAAAGAATGGATTGCACTTTGAACTTTAGCTTTCCTAATGAAAAGGTAACAATTCTTAATTCTTCTTGCATTAAGGATAATTTGTTGATAAAAATAGATTTTTGATCTGAGAAAACATTTATTTACATTTTAGATATTTCTGAACGTGTTTGGTGCCATGAAAGTCTTGGATCTGATGAGATTATTTAAGAACAGGATGAGATTTTTAAAGTTGATGTTTTGGTTTTGTAGCAATTTGTGATGTTGGGTGAAACTAACCTCAGCGCAGTCTATTCTGTATTCAATTTCTTTCTCTTGTTATAATCAATCCATACCGTAAAGTCAATGAAACATTCTCTTCACCTTTGTTCGTTTTATAAAAATCTGATACACTTGGCATAGACACTCACTACCCTCTTTAGCCAATTGCATGTTAGAAATAGGTTTTGTCACATACCGCAACTTGTGGATATCATGTCATTGGACATGCGAAGATGTGGGTCGGATATAGCTACTTGTTACAAACAACCTTATGGAAAGGCATGAATCCATTTCTACCTGAACGTTAAGTAAACAGCAAATTAATTGGAGTTCTTTAGCTATGAAAAACTAAGGAAAGGGATCCCTAATGCCCATACAGACAACACACACACACAAAAACAAAACAAAAATTGTTGGGCAGTTACTATAGTTGGACTCAAATTCAACTGAGAAATGGGGGAGGGGGGTTGGACATTGAGCCAACTCCATAAAAACTCACAATGGTTTCAAAAACAATTCCCGCTATGCTTGTGTTAAATGAGACAACCTATGTTAAGCACAAGGCACATCAACAAGTCTATAATGGTCATGCAAAAGCAAATCAAGAGCATCTGACATAAAAGAATAGTTAATATTCTCATTTTTCAGCATGACCATTATTGCGGATTTATGTTTAGTTTGTTCAGGTTAAAGTGTTTCGAGTGTAGACATTCAAATTTGAACAAGAAAGAAGAAAACATTAACAAAACAAAATTTGATAATGGAGACATTTTCCTTTTACTACACATGTGGCTGGGTGTCCAATGTTGATATATACAATGCCAAGAAAAAAAAAAAATGGCCACAATGAAACTGTTTTTTTTTTTTTTTTTAATTGCCTATTTGTTGGAAACTGCGTTGAGGTTTCTTCTTGAAATTTTTAGCATTTCCAAACTTGTTGCCACTCCTTGGGATGCTGCTCAAGGCACGGATGCGGGACTTCTGCTGCTGAAAGTCTAAGATTCAGGTTAAGGAAAACAAAGGACTTTGGAAGAAAGGGACATTTCATTGAAAATAATAACAACTAAAAGTCATTCTTTGTAAGAGAAAATGCATCAAATTAGGAAATATATTTTTGATTTAAATAATATTTACTAATTCTTCAAATTCATGATGATAAGAGTCACTCATGCAATCAGAAGGTCAGCTGTTTGTTAACAAGTAGATAAAGATGGTCGAAATCTGATGAGCTTTTCTCTTTGGTACGTAGATTATGCATTTAGGTTCAGTGTTAGATTGGTGGCAAAGTCTCATAAATTTTACAGTTAAAATGGCTGCTACATGCAACTGTAAGTTCTATGCTAATAGTTTCTTCTTTCAGACTTCTCACTTGGAGAATTGTCTTCCAGTTTCTTGTTTTCTAGTTGATCTTCAAAAATTTAAATGCAACATCAATCGCTATCTTAATTCCTATTCTTTTGTTCTCTCTCTTTAATAATGTTTTCTTTTTCTGATATTCTTTTACACTCATAACCCCTTGCATCTAAGTGGAACCATTTTTCTCTGCCTAAGACACATGCTAATGTCAAGTGGGGGGATCTAAATGACTTTATTCGAGACTAAAGGCTCTGGAGTTTTATGGCCTGCAGTAAAGTCTAAAATTAAAATCTTCAAAGTGACCACTGTCGTCGATAAGTGGACAAAAGAAATAAAACAAACTTTCGTCATCAAGTGCCACTTGGCTGGAAGTTAAGGAATTCCACTCATAGGCTTAAATAGTGTCGCAATTAGAATTGACACTTATGAGCCGTCCATAGAAAGAGATAACAGCCAGAAAGAAGCTAGTGGGTGGCAAGCCATCTGTTGAGATTTAGAGACAAATGCAGAAATTGGCTGATGGGTAGTTAGGGTTTTCACTGGTTGAAGGGAAGATCTGGCCGTTAGTCTGCCGGGGGAGAGGACAGAGTGTCACTTACTGATCCTCGTATGGTGCCAGGTATTTCGCCATATGCCCCCTCCCAGTTTTTGTGCACACAAACATTAATAATGAGAATTCAAACAATGCTGGATAATTTGTCCAATTAGTGAAAGAGTATATGAGGGCTCTTTGAGGCCTACATTTGTGAATAATAATAATAATAATAATGATACTAAAATAATGATAAAGAGGATGATGATAACGAACACATGAAGCTGGGAGTAAAAACAATTTTTGTAGAAACAAGCAGAAAATGATGAAATGACAAAGTTTTGCTCTGATCAAGGATACCAAGGTCAACGTAAAGTGGTGTCTTCATGCCAAAAGACTCTGCTACTTTCTTCATGTCCATGTTTCTGATATTGAAGATATCTTTCATGCTGCTGCAAGCATAGGCTCGAACGTAGGATTTGTAAGCTTCACGAGATGATTTGTTGAGGTGGTAATTCTTTTCTATAAGTCTTTCAAGCTGCAAAGAAATAAATAAGGTAGGTAGGTGATGCCCGTTAGCACAAATTGTTTGAATTTAATGAGAATCAAAATAATGATTGATTTTTTTTTTTTACAACTTATCAACCCTTTGTGGATTATTTAAAGCCAGAACATATTTTGAATTGTAAGAATTTTTTTTTTTAAAGTGAAAACAGTGATTTCTCCAGATGCAAATCCTACTATTTAGCCCACAGCTGGGGAGAGGAGATGGATTCATAACTTTCCCAAAGACATTTGTGCATAAGTGAAATTTGAGCCTGGGCTGCCAATTTGTATTTCTGAGTTGCTAACCATTACACCACCTGCACATCTGGAGAATCAAAATAAGAATTCACTCAGTTTTAATAATTTCTGATAAAGGCATGAACTATAAAACCCTTATCATTAAGAAATCATCAAAACAGACTAAAGTGAAACCCTTTCAATTTGTTTCTGCCTCAGATTCAACACACAAAATTAACCCACATAGGAATATCTTTAATGAACAACTCACTTTTCCAGGAAATTTTACACAACAATTTATTCAGTTGTATTTCTCTGAATAGACTTATTAGGTGTATTTGACAATGCTCTTGATCCCTGCTTCATGGAAAGGTTGTGTTGCATCAAATCACATTGCTGCAAAACAGTCTTTCCAATGCGCCATCACTTACCTGTGGTTGAATATCAGAAATTTTACTCCATGAAAATTCATATTCATTTAATGTGACTCTTGCTGTTTTCAGGTAACGAAGAAATCCGAGTTCTTCTGGACGTAGAATGAGAAGGGCTCTTCCTGATCCCCCTTCACCCCGTGCGGTTCGACCAACTCGGTGAATATATTCCTAAAAAAACATATGTTGACAAGAATCAATGCATTTTTCATGATTAGACTTTTATCAATAAATCATAATTTACAAAAATTCCTTTGTGCAAACACTTATTTATTTTAGGAATTGAGTAAGTATTTTTCACAGGCAAAACCCATTGTAGCTGTCTTTAGGGATTAACTAAGTAGTGAGGCCAAGGGAATGGTGAGAAAAGCTCCCCACCCCCCAAGAGGTCAGATGGTAAAAAAAAAAAAAAAATTACTCTAGAGTCCCAATTTCTGCTTAAGATTTAAGTCCATACCCACAAAACGGATTTTTCTTCTAAAAGTAAAAACTATGTAACCAAGAGAGCCAATAAATGTTATGATGCCGCACAGATTGTGCAAATTTATTTTTTTTATCAAAATTTACCCATTTAGAATTCTTCTTGGATCTGTAGACCATGACCCCCCCCCCCCAGTGTGGGGTGGAGTCATGGTCTACAGAGTGCTGGAAATTTTAGCCAGACACTTCCATAATCTAATTTTATTTTGTCATCATTTTGTTGATGGGCTGAAAACATTCCACCACCCATTTCATATATTGAATAGTATTAAAAAAAATAATAAAATAAAATAAAATGTCCTGAAGTAATCCCAAAAATTAAATTTAATTTTTTCTCTTCAAATCTAAAAGACGAAACATTAACCCATTGTGAATGATGCAAATGTTTATCATTATACCTGCACTGTAGTCGAGAGAGAGAGAGAGAGATGAAAAAACTTCACCATAAAAATTTGGTGTTAATAATAAAAATTAAAACACATCCGTTAAAGCATGAATTAACCAACCTTGGGATCATCTGGAGGATCATATTGGATGATCCAATCCACCAATGGGATGTCCAGGCCACGAGCAGCCACGTCCGTACAAAGTAAAATTGCTTCCTTGGCATTTACAAACTGGAAGAATGTTTGCGTTCTCTTATTCTGCTTTTGTTTACCCTAGACAAAGAAAATGAAAACACGTTTTATACTTGTTACCATCACACCTTCTGCAAGAGTAATACTTTCATGGTAATTGTTCAGATGAGGTCAAGATCTCATCAATTTACAGTTTGAGTTGGTTAGATTCAGATATATATTCTATGCTAACAGTTTCTTTTCTTGTACTTTTTGCTTGTGGAATTCCCTTCTGGCTCCATGTTTTCCAACCAACTTTAATCTGCAAAAACTTAAATGCAATGTCAACCTCTGCCTGCTGTTACACCCTGTAACCCCTTGTGTCTTAGTGGCTTTACTGCTTTGCATAGGATGAGGGTGATTCAGATAAAAGAGAAAAAAAGAAAGTAATTTAGGATTTTTTATTTGTACAATCAACTCTATTTTTGCAGGTTAGAAAGAATTCTGCTTAAATGTAGAAATATCCAAAGAGGTAACATAAAACCTATTAGAAATCTGGTCATCAATGAGATAATCCATTATCGTAATGGGTAGAGGAAGAAAGAGAAAAATGGTTGCACATTGGCAAACCACTTGTTAACATAAGATACACATTTGAGTGAGAGAGAGAGAGAAATATAGAAGTAAAACGCTAATCTGATGCAGCATGACTGTTGGTGTGTAAAGTTGGTTAAAAGTGCTTTGGACAATAATCTTAATAAACAGTTTTTGCATTGTCCGAGTCTTTCTAAAAAGAATACTTAAGAACATTTTACTCGTCTGTAATATTCAATGAAACATCTATAAAAGAAAGTTTGCTGCCCAAATACAACATAAATTATGCCATAAAACATGTATTAGTTAGGATAATGCTGGAGTAAAGTGCCGAATTTCTGCAGAAAGTCTTAAATCCTAAGAATATGCCATACCAAAATCTTTTCCCCAACTTGGACAATCTTCACACACACAAAAAAGAGATTGTGAAAATGGCAAGAGGAAAACGAGAGATTTTACAAACATATTTGTGCACAACTAATTGACAGGTGAACAGTTGGTTTCATTTATGATTTTCTTTCGAATTTATTTTTTATTTTTTTAAATAATCTAAATTTTGACATTTTTTATTTCGATGTCATAATCTAACTCTAAAGCTGGACAATGTAAAGACAAGAGTTAAGAGATGGGGTAACAAATAACAAACATGCCTTTAGACATTAAAAAAATAATACCACTCCTGACAGCTGAATTTGTTGACCTATAAGACATTCAGACTACATCTATTGTTGGAGGGAGTGACTGTAAGGTGTTGGGGAGGGTTGATTTGGGCGGGGTGGGTGTTAGTGAGGAGACTTATTGGAGGTGGCAGTGGAGCATGTGTGATTGCTGAGAAGGTAAAAATTAATAAGAAAAAGCTGATAGAAATTTATACATTTTGATAAAAAAAAAGAAAGAAAAAAGTTCTTTTCGTTATATAGGTCAAAGTGTGATAAGATATTTGCCATTCAATAAAATTTTAATCACAAAAGGTGTACATTTTTGAATGGATGTTTGACATGAAAATTCATGGCTCATCAACTTCCTTAGAATGGTCAGGTTACTAATAATTATAGTTTTTGAAAAACCTGCTGAGCAACACTGACAATTTTTTTTTTTTTTTTTGACACTTTGCTCAAGAGTAAATTAGGAGAGGGTGCAATGTTAGCAAACTGTCCTTTTGTTGGCTCTTATTCTGTGTGTGTGTGTGTGTGTGTGTGTAAAAATGATCATTAGAGTTGGCCTGTTTGGAAATTTATGTTTTGGTATCAGTCGACAGCGAGGTTTTCGATTATGTTTTTCAGTTTTTAATTTAGTAGTTTTACTTTCTAAGGAAGCCATTCATTTTCTTGTGTAATGATAGCATTTCCAGTCAATATTTGATTTTGTTTGGGATTCATAAATTTGCAACTTAGTCCGTTTAACTCACAATTTCTTGTGTATTTCTGGTCCAATCATAAAAATATTTATATGGCTGGAAAGAAAATAATCTTTCTAAATATATAATTTCTATGTGCTTTTATTCATTGAAATATTTTTTTTACAGCAAGTTCAAACGGTATTTTGCTTTGAATAGCTGAAAATGCAAAATATGTTTTCCAAGACTAAATTTTGCACATTACTTTGTTTAGCAACATTAAAGTGACTAATCTTTATCAATATTCTTGAAATTGTACACACATTTAAAAGAAACCTTAAACTACAACCAAGAAGATGTCCATTTCTTCTGATCCGTGTAAATAAATAAATAAAAATAAGAGAGAGAGAGAGGGAGGGAGAGAGAGAACAACTAATAGTAAAAAATGTGTGGCAAAAAAACTTTCTAATTATTGAAACTACTATCTGACAGTGACAGATCAATGAGATTTTTTTCCCTTAAATAAATGTTTTTCTCTAGTGAATACAACACCTAAAATTAAATATTAAAAATAATTAAAAGCTTTTAATATCATTTTTATAATGTGTATATTTCCAAATCTGTGAGTATCACCTGTTCTTTTTAAGAAACACATTTTAAAACTGAAATTAAAAACTATTTTAATCATTTTAATATATAATCTTAAGTGTATTCGCTAGATAAAACCATAAAGATATTTGTAAAAATAAAATTAATTTTCCTTGTTTAGAAGAATTTTGCAGGCACAACACCCACTGAACACTAGTGGCAAAAAAAAAAGAATAATTTTTACTTTGAGTTTTAAAAAAAATGAATTGTTTTAAAAATATGTGCATTTTAAAGCTGAGATTAAACCTTACTTTATTTTTGTAATATCTAATTTTAAGTGTATTTGCTAGATAGAAACAATTTTATTTATAGAAAACAAACAATTTTACACTAGAGATTTTCATATTTGGAAATATACATATTTTAAAAGTGAAATTAAGAATTATTTTAATTATTCTTAATATCTAATTTAAGTGCATTCCCTAGATAAAAAATAAATTATTTATAAAAAAAAAAAAAAGAAATCTTCATTAATTTTTCTTGTTTACAACAACTTTATTTCATGATTGTTGTACTGGCGTAAAACAATTAGACTTTTTACAAAAAATCCAAATTCATAAAATTTAACATTAAAACAAAACTGGTAACAATTTTTTTTTTATTTTTACTATTTTGTTGTTAATTTTACCACAAAATTTTTTTTTTTTTTGAAAACAAACAAATAGATTTCAGACATTATGACCTATTTTCCTTTTTTTTCTGTGATTTCCAAAGTGTCATATCTATCGCATTTTTTTTCCCCCTTCTTCATTTCTTTTGTAAACAAAGAGGTCACATTTATTTCCTAAAACTAGTCAAATGTTTTTAACATATTTTGTTCAATCTTTTTCTCTTACAATGGTATAAATGTAGATAAAATTTAATTTTATTAACATATGAAAGTCTTTTTCAATAGCTTGTCTTTGGATATGGCCAGTAACCAAACAATTTCGGTTTTGTAAAAACTTTTGATGTGGTTTTATGGTGTGAAGATAAAACTGAAAAAAGCTGCTTTTTTGGTTAAACCGCCCACCTCTAACGATCATACCTTTAACCAATTATTGTCTGGAGGCTGACAAGTTTGTAATTCTTCTTGAAGACAAGGATGACAGGCTTATATAGAAAAAACAAAACATCACTAGAAACAAACACAGGTGAGGTTTGAAGTGTTTGTAGAGCCGTCTGCAAATCTCAGGTATGCCATGTGGTTAATAACCTTTTGTTATTACCCACCAGAAATTCTCTATGTCCTTGTTGGAATTTAAATGTTTATTTACTGAATGACAAAAGCAATTTGCACAGAGTTAGGACAGAAGAAGATGTAAATAATCGGGTGGCCATTTGCATGAAATGTTCAGGATTTTGAAGCCTCAAACTAATGGCCACATTGCAAGTTAGGAGCATTCAAATGAGTCACAAGGCTGATTTGACGGATAAAAAAAATAAAACTTAATGATTTCAGAGATTGCAAAAGGTAAAGCAATGAAGGAAATTGCAGAAATAATTGGCAGGTCTCAACAGACCAAAGTGCATTGAAGACCTGACGACTTTAATGCAGGTCGAGGATTTCCACTTGTCAATGTCTAATTGCATATTAAAGGAAATTTGTCTTTGTCAAGCTGTGAAATTTTTGTGCATGTTGTGACAATGAGGAAGTGTCAAAAATTAAAAGTTATTTATCTGTGTTCTCACTCATTTGGAATATGGCACAAGATTTAAACCGATTTGTCAATGTTTGTCCTCTTTTCACATTGGGGGCTGTGTGATATTATTTAGTAAAGTGCTGGACTCGGATGGTGTACAGATGACAGCTTGTTCATATATTGTTTTTTTTCTTTTCTCAAAGGCACACTTAAAACCATGGTTAAAAGAAGAAACTAAATACTTTCAGAATACAATATCAGAATTGGCAAAGAAAAACTGATAATTATCTGAAGGAAATGGGTTTCCAAGACACTCATTTGATACGAGTTGTTGGTTTGTTTTCACAATCATAACCTGATTGTAAAGCATTCTGAAGAGGAATGTTTACATGGGTGGACAACAATTTACCAACAAAGATTATTGATACTGAGCAAAACTGTTTCAGATGAAGAAATATAACAGCTGACAAAAATCAATGAATGGACAACTTCTAAAACAAATTTAAAAACATGGAAAGTATGTTTCACATTGTTTTATAACTTTGTCATTACAATGGCAACTCCTATGTGCCATGTCCTGAAGAATCATGGGCGAGAATGGCTCTCCAAGACTTCCTAAACTCTGTAGCTCTTAATGTTTTTTTTAACTATTCTGCCCACTCTGTTCTGTCATCCATTTACACAACCTTAAGCTGTTTCCCCCCTGTACTCTTGCCTTCAGTATGTCCTGTGTGTGTCAACTTTTCCAAGCCCTCTTTCCTCATTATGTGCCCTAGAATTTTCAACTTTCTTTCTGATTCTAAGCAGAAGTGTTCTTTTTACTTCCATTTTCCTTTTAAACTGCATGGTATGACATTGTTTTCAATTTTTTGTTCAAAACATGTCTTTGACAACTTTGCATATGTTCTGTCAGTATAATTTTTTAACCTGGCTAAAAAAGTGTACAAAAAAAAAAAAAAAAAAAAAAAAAAAAAAAAAATCCTGTAAAATTTATAAAAACTATTGACACATTGTAAGAGTGACATCCTGCCTACTATAAATCCAAATTATTTAATTTACGAGAGTAGACTGTTCTTGTTCCACTGCACATGTCCTGGGATATCTCATCTAGCAGAACAAGAAAAGTAGATCCTATTAGATTAAATAAAGGATTCAGTTTGAAATTCCTTGTAGGTTATTCAGATCAATATATACAACTGAAGAAGGAGTACAACAGTTGAAACATTGTGATAACAACAACAAAGATGAGAACAATAGTCTAAATGTAAATTGCACTACGTCTCAGAAATTCAGACAAAAAAACTGCCATTATTTTTTGCTTAGTCTCATAATGAATAATTTAAAAATTATTTTTACTTTTCCCCCCTCTTTGCCTTTTCAATGAATATCTCTATCCTCCACCCTACCCAAAAAAGTCAATTTTTAGTAATTTAATTTTTTCATTGCCTTTTATCACAATGTTCAATAACTTAAGTAGGCTGATCCACTTCTATTAAAATAAGGAAAAATCTATTTGGAAAATTTTTTTGTAAATTAGCTTTCTTTAGATCTTTCTTAGGCAGTCTTGGAATAAAAAAAAAAAATATTGATTAGTTATTGATTTAGAAACAGGTATGCTGTTTATAATAGTGACACAGTGCAAAATCGATCCCTGACTTTTAATAGTTATGGGAAATGAAGTTTTGTTTTTGTTTACAAATGTCACATTTGAAATTGTGCTTAATGAAGTAAGCATTGATACTCATATACTTTATTAAAAAAAAATAATAAAGTTTTCATTTTTATTTTTTAAAACATTGTACTATAATAATTATTTCTCCTAAAATGAAAAAGACAAATTTATACATATTAGTAATTTATGTAAATTTGGACACCCCCCCACCCCTACTTTAATATGAATTATTCCTTGGAAATAGTTGCAGAATTTACCTCGTTGAAATAAAAGCAATTTTTGTTGAAGCACTTTCGTACTTTATGGAAATGTAAACACCTGTTTGTTCATTATTGACAAATCTTTGTTTTGAATAATAATAATAAAAAAATTATTTCATCAGACAATTCTTAAGATATCTTAACGCACACACACATCCTAAAATAATACACACATATTTGTTTAATCTTTTGTAAAAAAAAAAAAAAAAAAAAAAATCCTCGTAAGCAGATGTCAATGACAAATGCACAATTTCAAATCACCCCAATAGCTCTTCAAAGTCAGGGAAATTTCAGAATGTATCACTATTAGGAACATGACTGCCCACTTCTAAAAATCAATATTTTTTTTCTTCTTATTCTGACAAATATGACAGCCTGAGAAAGTTCTAAAGAAACACTCATCAAAAGTCTATTTAAATGGCCCAACTTTATTTGGGGCATTAGAACACCAATCAGAATAAATAAAAGAATCCCTGTTGAAATTTGAACTCAGACCTCCTTTGCCTTGTGTAAGGTTGGTTAATGGCACCCACTGGAGCCACTAAGAACTCAACAATTAGGAGAAGTCCAAACCTCACACCCTATAAGTCCAAACTTTCTCAATCTCTCTTGGCATCATATTTGTTTAATGCTTTTACAACAGTAGTGTCAATTTCTCAGATGAGGTATTGTAACTATTTACATCATTTGGATGGTTGTCCTCATTTTTATTCCCATATTTAGTCCACAAGGAGTAGACTGGAGTTAAAACAATCCTCTCCTGTGGACTAAATAAAGGGTTCAGTTTGAAATTCCAATGTATATCACCTGAAGAGGGTTGGAGAATACAACAGTCAAATCGATGTAAACAGTGTAAATAATTCTCTTTCATTTTAAGCAAAGTTATATTTGCATCATTTTGCACTGACAGTTCATAATGGAAACAAGATTGTTCTTTTAATGCCACATATGAACACTTAAAGAAATACAAAGCTGGCCTAATGGTTAACAGTACAGAAAATAGAAGAGGCAGACAGAGTTCAAATTTAAGCAAAAGTAGTCTGGAGTTACTTCACACACCAATGCTCCTTATCTACATATCAAATATGGCAACTTGCTTCTGGAAGCATGTAACATAACACAATCTGTTATATGTTATTTGGAGAGGAGAAATTAACTTCCATGAAGAACCCAGCATTTATATTTAGAACATAATCCCTCCCCACCTCTGCTAAAGAAAGCAAGAAAAAGAAAGCAAGAAAAAGAAAAGAAAAGAAAAAAGAAAAAAAAAAAAAGATGGGAAATAGCATTATTAATAATAATAGTGATGATGATGTGTACAAAAAAAAAAAAAAAGAAAACTTACATGAATAGACATAACAGGGATATCAATGTAATTCAAGAGTTCATGGTGGTATTTGACTGACATACAAGAACTGAAAAAAACCATCATCTTCTTCTTTCGATTCTTTTTCAGGAATGTAAAGAGCATCAGGAAACGTTTCTCTGATGGACACACAACATAACCCTTAGGGAAAATGAAAAAAAAGAAATCAAAATTAAAAAAAAAAAAAAAATCTAGAAAGAAAAGAAAATTTAGTAAATTAATTTTTTTTATTTCTGTTGTTCATGCTAAACACTCTTTTAGAAAAATATCTAAACTGGTGGCTTTGTGCTAAATATCTAAGTCATTTTCAAATGGCAGCTCATTCATTTTAATGTTTTGAGTTTCTCTATACTCAACTATAATTTTGATTTTACAAGACTATTGAACAAAAGATAGTCGGGTGTGGGATCTTGTTTCAGTTTTGTAGGGAGTGGTCACAACCTAATTAACAGAAAATAATTTTTTTTCTCTTAGCTGGAGGAGGCACAATACTAAAGTTCAAGTTCCTCCAAAATGATTTCAAGCTTGCAGGCCAATGATCAAATTTTCAACTAGTGAAAAAGACTGCTATAAATACCAAGCATTCAAATATTTAACCAAAAATACAAAGGTTAATTCTTTAAATACTGCTCCAATAAACAGTGATGAATATTTTGCTTTTAAAGTAAATCAATTTCTAAATAATAGTCATGTCAGATGAAGTTTTAGTAAACTCAGGAAGTTTAATCTCATTACCCAATTTTTATTATAAAAACAAAATTTCTAAGCTGCTTCTATGAATTTATAACCTCCTTGTCTTATCTAATAATTCCAAGCAAAGAAAGATGAGAAGATATTATAAGACAAATAGATTTTATATTAATTTTCCAAAAGTTTAAAGCTTTTTTTCAGATCCTTACCTGCTCCAAGCCAGCCACAGTTGCCTTTTCACTCGTATCATGCACCCCAACATAAATTGGTTCCTTTTTCAGAGAGATTTTTGCCAAGTCTTCGGTTTTGTTGGTTTGTGTAGCTGAGAATAACATGGTCTGTCTTTTTTCTGGATAAATGGGAAAAAAAGATTTGAATAGGGTTGAAACTGAGGTCTCTGCAAAGCTAACGAGGGCCATCAATTTAAAATCCATTTTGGTAGCAAAGAAGAAGAAAAGAAAGGAAAGGACTAGAGAAGATAAAACAGGAGCCGACTTACAGTTTCAGAAATTATTTTACAAAGAAAATGTTGAGTAAAATGGATATCAAAAAAGTTTAATAATAAAACATGTTCAGCAGTAAAATTAGAAACATAATTACTATATTATTATTACTACTACTACTACTAATATTCCTTTGGTATCATTAATCTAAGTTTGATATGCTGAGGCAACATTTGTGAGGCATTTTGTTTTTAAGTGAGCACAGATAGAAAAATTAATCAGCATTTAGAAAACAAAACTCCTGAATTAATATAAAATTTCTAACAATTTAAGTGCTGTCAAAATTACTTTTCTTCTGAAAAGATTTGATTATATTTAAAAAGAAATAACAGGAAAATTGAAATTATAAATCAGATGACAAATTATTGAAAATAAGTAAACATAGATAAAAATGTAGAAGGTTGCTTGTAATAATTTTGGTGGCAGTTGAAAGAATAAAATGATTAAAGAATTTTTAAAATAAAGATTGCAAAAATATACAGAACCAGAGAATAACTATTTTTGAAAAGTTGTTCAAAGTGTAAAACAATTCTGTGGTGCCGTTTGAAATATTCTTCAATGATAATGGATTTATGTTTATAAGAACACAGATCATGTTTTCTTTTCTTCTTAAAAAGTAAGGATATACAGCAATTAATACACCTGGAAGGAATATCAAGAAAATAGGTGTGTGTATATATAATTATTTCCCATTTCATTCATTCCAGATTTATAATCCAGTAATAACAAATAGCATTATTGTTTACTGTGAATGAAAAAATAAAAATAAAATAAAATAAAGGCAAATATATGTAATTACATTAATATCTTTTTGATGATCACCTGAGTAAAATTGTTGAGGCTCTAACATAAAACACCTATGGCTGCTTGAAGATGATTTAAATTTTGGTAGGCTTTTATCAGTTATAGTCACATGATGGTAAAATAACTACCACTTGATATTTACCTGAGGAAACAGGTAAGCAGATTGAAAAATAAATGTATTTTCTTTATTCCAAGTAACAGCTTTGTAAAATCAAGTTAATTATTCATTAAAGCAACATTTTTTCTTCAGAGTAACCCCACCACCATTAAAATAAAATAAAAAATTTTTGAAAGTTTAATTCTTTAGTTGACAGACTTCAATCATGGCAGAGGTAATGATAAAAATATTTTACAAACATTAAATCAGTATTAAAACTAGATTTAATTAATTACATAATCTTCTTTTCAGCTACATTCTTGCAATTAAAATTTAAAGACATTTAAATTGTTGTAATATTTTAAAAACTTATTCTAACAAGTCCATGCTCGTCCCGAGCATAAACTCTGCTAAAAGACAAAACTTGAATAATGTATATTTTTTCAAAACACTAATTCAAAAGGTTAGAGTCCAAAAATAGTTTCTAAGAATTTGTGATGAATGCAACTTTTGCACAAAGACACAAATGAGCGATGAAAAGTATATTTGTCATTTTTTTTTTTTTTAAAACCTTTGGAAAATATACAAAATGTCAGCATAATTGATTGCTTGATCAAGTCAAAAGTAAGAAATAATTTTTTTTTTTTTTTTTTTTAAATAACCAGACTTGACTCAAGGGAGGTAAATCTGTTTTTGTCAAGGGAGGTAAATGAATATTTTGTTCACTTACTCGGTAGCAATTTGATGATTTTTTTCATTTCTTCTTCAAATCCGATATCAAGAATTCGATCGGCCTCATCAATAATTAAACATTGTAGATTTTTGTACATAAAGTTGGGTGTATTCTGCAAGAAAAACAAAATTAATAGAAATAAAATTTTTAGAGTGGAGAAAATAAATATTTTCAGAATCAGTTATAAAACCTTATCAAAGGATATATGACAAGAGGACTTGAAAAACGACCCATTCCCTCAAATCTGACCAAACTTGAGAATTTATTTTAGAAACCTTTCTAGGCCAGGCGAAATGGAGTATATAGTGTATGTAATTAATTCAATGTCAGAAGAGTATAGTCTGCACTTTATCCCATTATCTTTAGAACATTACCAAAATATTTCCTTATTCCTTGATTTCCTCCCTAATGTAGAGATTTGGGAATTACTGCTATTATTTATATCCAAAGTCATCTAATTTATGCTGTTACAACCAAATATTATATATAAGATTACATTCAATTTAATTTTTAAAACATTACACAAGAATGGTGCTACAATCTAAGCTGCATTTAAAATTTCATGTACATACACAAAATGCTAATGATGACTCCACTTTAACATTGTCTTGGATTGGGAAATAGGATTGTACTCATTTGTATACGTTAAGTAGAAGAGAAATAAAATCTACAGTAAAGTAAGACAAGTGGAAGATGACTACTGATCAGATGTCGTAGAACACAATACAACAAAGAAAAAGAAATAAGTTACTTCTTTTTAAGGACATTTTCTTTTGCTAAAACAGAATTCTCAATAAGAATTTGGAAGACAAGGTGTCACAGGTGAATGAGAAAATACAAAAAGAGAAAAATCATTAATGAAAAAACAAATGTACCCATTCAAAGAAACAGAAAATGACACTCAATTTTGAGAATGGCTGTGGAAGTGACTGCATAATTGGACCCTGTGGTTCTTGTTCATGTTGGCCTATATCGTGTGTGTGACAGTGAGAAACAGTGACACACAGACACCAGTTAGTAGAAGCCTAGGGACTCAAATAACGAGAGGTGAGGAGTTGATATAACTGAAAATTCTTGGGTCATGGGGCCATATGGAAAGGAGCACCGTCCTCCTGAGACAGGTTGTGTATTTTCTTGTGCATAATGCAAGAAATTTTGAACAAAAATTAAAGGCAAAGGGTGAGGGGGTTTCATTATACACAAGTACACATTGTCAGAAATTTTTACTCAGCTTAAAAAAAAAATAAAATGAAAATACACTCAGTACAATAGATAACAAAACAAAGTCAACAGGTGGTGATAATTGTTTACAAAAGGTATTTGATATATTATTTACATTGTTTGGACTCTTATCCTCATCTTTGTTGCCATATTTATCACAATGTTTTGGCAATTGTACAGTAAGGTCTTCATCAGGTGGTTGGAATGTCAAACTGAACCCTTTATTATTTTAGTCTGAACAATGTAAATAGTGTACATAATATCTCATCTCAGAAATATAGACAGGAATTTGATATGTTGGTAATATTAGTTCTTTGGGAGCAGAAAGAATTGAACGATAGGAAATTCATCAAAAGTGATTTTAAAAAAAGTTAATTAAAATGGAAACACAAAAGATCTGTCATGTTTTGGTAACATTAATTCCATAACAAACACTTATACATGAAAATTTGAAAACGAGTTTTGAAATGGAAATTAAGAGAAGAAACATTGAATGACTAAACACCTGGTTCGTTTTTAGTGAAATATATGTACACCATTGAGATTTTAATGGGTTGGTACAATTAAAAAAAAACAACAACACATAAGGATGGCTGTACTATGGAGTTGTATTTATACTGAATGATGAAATATATACTGTGTTTTTAGCTTCAGAAACAAGGGCTGTATTATACTCAAATTGCACACAAGAAAATATGGTATGGTAATCTCCTGATCTTGGATATGACCACTCCCAATGTAGATAGTACAATGACACAGGGAGGAAGAACTAGGACATCATGACATTGTTTCTAACAATCCCCAATGACCATCACAAACAAATTTTAAATTCACTGCTTTCAAATATAGTGTAAATAACTGGTTAATAGTCAAGAAAAAAAAAAAAAATACATTGACTCAAATTCTATGCTAGGAATTAATGGAAATTTAGTTCATTTTTTAAACAAAAATTTGGTCAATGGTTTTTTTTTTCTATCAAAAATGAGAGAGAGAGAAAGCACAAAATAACAAAAAATTGTTTCTCGATTGAAACATGCAGCAGAAAAGCCATTTTCTCACCTGTAAATGATCTAATAATCGGCCAGGTGTTGCTACAAGAATGTTGATGCCCTTCACTAACTTTTTTGCTTCATCATCTTTCTTTGTGCCACCAATTACCAATCCGAATGTATGATGGTGGAATTTCAGCAATTCCTTTAAGACTCCATATGTCTGCATAGACAATTCTCTTGTAGGAGAAATGACAATCACTCCTGTACCTAGAATAGAAATGATTATTTTGAAAACTTCAAGGTTGGTAAAAGAAAAACTGACAAAGTAGCATAAATAATTACTTTATTTGCCACTAGGCTCTTCTCAGAATACCTCTGCATGTTACCATACCCTGATAATAGAGAGGAATGGTGCCAGGCCTAAGTGCCTCCATTTGACACACCAGTCCCTTGATGACCGCAGAATAAAATATATATGATTACAAATTATGATTACAAATTATGAATACAAATCAAAATGATTTTAAGATATAAAAACAATGATGTACAAATATTATACTAACTTAATATTTTATGAAGATAATTCTTTCAAATTGACAAACAAAATTTCAGAAATGATTTTTTTTTTTTTACAGAGCAAGTATCAACTATTAAGTGCAAAAAGGAAATTTTAGTAGGAAAAAAAAAACAAAAACAATATAGAAATTTGGAAGCAGAGTGTGTGTGTGTGTGTGTGTGTGTGTGTGTGTGTGTGTTTTGTATAGTGTACAAGAAACATTGCCTGTTCTTGCTGGCATATTTGAAGGAACTGCCTCGAAAAATTCAGCATATCTCTTGACATTTTGATGAAGCAGATAAAAAATATTTGATGACAGTGAGTTCCATTTCTCAAACAGAACCTCTCCACTGCAGCAACAGTGACAGGGCCAAAGTCAGATACTGATGGGTCAGCTGGTGGCAGAGAGGTTTGTATGAAAACAACTAATAGAATTATAAGTAGTAGCACCCATGAATGATTTTTTTTCTTCCTATTTGAATTTACTGATGTGTCATAATACTTAATGATTGAATAAACCCCATTGTGAGTTTGGAGACTCTGAAATATCTGAGCTAAAGAAATTTAACAAAATATAGCAATAACAATAAATATGAATGCAGGTCATTATTTAAAGAACTAAGAGGGTATAAATGAAAAGGTTAAAATTTGACAAGGTTTTACACTTTACTTAAGCAGACGTTAAAATGCCCGAGAACACTATTGCCTTCTTTTTCTCTTTCTTTTCCCATGGAAACTAAATGGCACCCTCCTGATATGTCGTTTCCATCTTTCATTGCAATCAAAATGATGTAATTGTAATAGATTTTTTAAAATATTTGTTTGAAGTGATAGTAGTGGTGGGATTGCAGTCTCAAACTCTTCATTTTGATATTAAATGCAAGGACAATAAGAAGAAAAAGAAAATGTGGTTAAAGTAATGTGATAGGCAAAAGCCAATGAAGTTCCTTACCATTTCTTGGCATAAATTTCAGTTTGTACATCAGTTCAACAGCCGGAATTAGGAATGCCAAAGTTTTGCCACTGCCTGTTTTGGCAGCACCCATCAGATCCCTAGAAAAAAAAGAAGACATTTTTATAATTGGAAATTAAAATTGAGTGGAACACACTGCATGTTTGTGTGCAAAGGTTTTGAAGTTCTACTTCCACTGACAAATCATTTTCTTGTCATTTTAAGTTACTGATCACTTTCACTAATTAGTGATACTAAAAATATAAAAGCCAGTCTGTAAATAAATTAATTAATGAATTGACGTACAAAGTCGTTGGGAAAAAGTTTACAACCAAGGTTCTTTTGGCTGACTCTACAATTGGGGGAGGGGGGATAGAGAGAGAGAGAGAGATGACAACATTTTTTATCACATGTTCTAGCAATGTATTGGTGATTACTTTGAAAGCTCATTATCTTCAACTGACACTCAACCAATCTTGAAAATCACATGCTATTCAAAAACCTGTGTTTGACCTGAAGAATATTTGCTAAAAGCCTGACAAAGCATTTCAAGGATCCTGACAGCAGAGTTGCCAAGCTTCACACACATTCTGATGTGGACACATTGTCAGTCATTCCAGAGGCATTCTGAAACCTTGCCTTATAAATGAACATGGCAAACTGACTCGGTAGAGATGTACAAGTGAGCATTGGTTACATATACATTACCATTAAACGATACAAACATTGTATGTAAAAGTCTTGTAAAATAAACTGACTTGTTGTGTCATCAGGGGATCCCCACTTTTTTGTTGGAGCATTTAAGAATTTTCATAAACACATTTAATCTATGAAATTATTTCGTTAATGTCTATAAACTTTTCATCTTCAACAAAATACACAGGGAATTTATTTGCAATTTTAAAAACTGAGAAAGTAATTTCCACTTGATCAACCCTGAACTTGATTCTCTTTAAGAATTTCTATTCTTTTTATGGATAACATTAAACCAAAACCTTACCGTCCTTCCAATAAATGTGGAATAGATTTGGCTTGAATCTCGGTCATTTGTGTGAAACCCATTTCTTTGATGGCATCATATGTTTCAGTGGAAATGCACTTGGACAAAGTTGCAAAGGAAGAATCGGAAAGAATTTCAGTTGACAAGTTGCTGCCAGGCACTGTAAAAATCAGACAGGAGAAAAAGGAAAACAATTACACACCAGGAAAAGGGGGGGGAGAGAGAGAGAAAGAAAGACAAAAAACTGAAAGATGCCCAACTAGTAAATTGCATTAATGGTTTTAATAATAATATATATATATATAAAACCCACAGATTTGTCTTTTATTCTCAACTAAAGACACTTGTCTTATGAATGCAAAATGCATTGTTAATAAAGTGTTATTTTGTCTAATTTCTTTTGTTCTGATTCTATATCTTATTAACACACGGATATATATATATATATATATATATGCTTGCTAAAAATGACAAATACAGTGAAACCCTGAAAGATTCATATTTCTTTTCTTTTAAATAAGAACAAGGTTATTGTAAATTAGTCACTGGATGTGAAATACCTCGGACTAAGGCTTGAGAATAGACCAGCTTATATATTGTGTTTAAAACAAAAGTAAAACAATGATATTTGGAAAGAAGAAAAAAATGTTTCATCATAAAAATTATTTAAAATGTACATTTATTGTTAATGTTGAATTGATTTTGGCACCAACACCTAAAAAAAGCAGCAAAAGTTGTAAAGAGACTGACTTTAAGAAAACATCAACAATTCTCCTGTAGTTAAAAAGAAAAGAGTGAAGATGTTTGGTGCTTTTACTTTTCAAAATGGTAGTGAGGTAAGAGATGAGAAAGAAGATATTTTCCCCAGTGATTTGAAGGCAAATATTATTATTTATTGTTTTTCTTCTTCAGAAGACTTACACAATTGTTCCTTTGGGGTTTCAATATCGTCATCTTCCGATTCTAAAGCTTCAATGGATTCCAAATCACCCTTGGATTCAACCTCATCACCAGAATCTGCAGATTCTACACAGGTTTCTTTTTTTTCATCAATTTCGTCTTCTAGTTCTTTGTCATTTTCGATTCCATTTTCTTTTACCTCAGATTCTTTTACGTCATCTGAATAAAGAAAAGAAGGCAATATTAACAAAGAATTCACTGATCCTAACAAGCAGATCCATAGCAAAACACAGTATCTTAAAGGCATTTGAGAGTGACAGTTAACCAACTAAACATGCCAGCTGGTCACAATTGAAACAACTGTAATCCTTGCTCTATGCCCCATTAAGGCAGTCTTGTGCCAGATTTTGCAATGATGGTTAAAGTGACAGTACATTCCCTACTGGACAAACACCAGCAGAGATCAGTAATCTTTCATTAATTTTGTAATTTCTGTTTAATATTTCTTTCATCTTAATTACAGTTGCAATTTACAGATTGTCATTATATGACTTTGAAGAAAAACAAAACAAAAAAACACATCTAATACTACTGTAGTGTAGTAAAAAGCAAGAGAAATAAGATGAAAGAAATCCTATTGAAAAATGAATAATAATTGACAAGGCTTCATGTAAGAAATTCAAATCTTATTCCATCTAATACTACTAGTGGAATAAAAAGCAAGAGAAATAAGATGAAAGAAATCCCAGTGAAAAATGAATAATAATTGACAAGGCTTGATGTAAGAAATTCAAATCTTATTCCATCTAATACTACTAGTGGAATAAAAAGCAAGAGAAATAAGATGAAAGAAATCCCAGTGAAAAATGAATAATAATTGACAAGGCTTGATGTAAGAAATTCAAATCTTATTCCATCTAATACTACTAGTGGAATAAAAAGCAAGAGAAATAAGATGAAAGTAATCCAAGTGAAAAATGAATATTAATTGACAAGGCTTTATGTAAGAAATTCAAATCTTATTACATCTAATACTACTAGTGGAATAAAAAGCAAGAGAAATAAGATGAAAGAAATCCTAATGAAAAATGAATAATAATTGACAAGGCTTCATGTAAGAAATTCAAATCTTATTCCATCTAATACTACTAGTGGAATAAAAAGCAAGAGAAATAAGATGAAAGAAATCCCAGTGAAAAATGAATAATAATTGCCAAGGCTTGATGTAAGAAATTCAAATCTTATTCCATCTAATACTACTAGTGGAATAAAAAGCAAGAGAAATAAGATGAAAGAAATCCTATTGAAAAATGAATAATAATTGACAAGGCTTGATGTAAGAAATTCAAATCTTATTCCATCTAATACTACTAGTGGAATAAAAAGCAAGAGAAATAAGATGAAAGAAATCCTAATGAAAAATGAATAATAATTGACAAGGCTTCATGTAAGAAATTCAAATCTTATTACATCTAATATTACTAGTGGAATAAAAAGCAAGAGAAATAAGATGAAAGAAATCCTAATGAAAAATGAATAATAATTGACAAGGCTTCATGTAAGAAATTCAAATCTTATTACATCTAATACTACTAGTGGAATAAAAAGCAAGAGAAATAAGATGAAAGAAATCCTAATGAAAAATGAATATTAATTGACAAGGCTTCATGTAAGAAATTCAAATCTTATTACATCTAATATTACTAGTGGAATAAAAAGCAAGAGAAGAGGAAAGAAATAGCAAAAACAATGTAGTGTTAAAATGCAGAAATAAATTTTAAATGTTGATTTCCCAGACAGACCCCAATTCCTTAGGAGGTTTGCCATAACACCAATTTTGAAGTCCTTTTCTACCTGTTTTAGCTTGGGTAAGTGTAAATACATTGCACAGAATTAACTCCATCAATATCTGAATTTTTACCTTTTAAATGCTTATAAAATTGTAGCCTTTCTATTTGGAAGATGGCTCAACAGGTATAGATCTGCTTCCTAGACTTTCCTTCATAAATGTACCACTACAATTATTTTTTATCAAGTTCTGTCCTGGTCAGATGATTATTATTTTTATTGAAAATATGTTTGCTTGTGAATAACTTTAAATGAAATCTCAATTCCTTGTTAGACTTTTGGTTAAAACATTAAATTAATTACTCACCAACTTTGTTTTTCTTTTTTTTATTTTTCTTCTTTTTCCTTTTTGGAGACTCAACATGACCATTTGAAATTCCTTTAAAAGAACAAAAAAATATCTTTTCAAAATCCTAATTATGACAGAGAAATTCAGGATGAACCAATTGGAAATGGAATTTATTTATCTATTTATTCTTGGAGAAAAAGAACATTTCTTGTTGCCAAATTTATACAAGTAATAAAACAAAAAAAAAAAAAACACACACACAAAGTTTCTGCAGTGTTAAATGTTGCCTCCAGGTTCTAGTGGTCTGTCAATAATTTATCAGTAGGGAACCTAACATTGCATCAGACAGGCAAACAATTTCCTTAAGGTTCCTCTTTACTAAGTTTATTTTCCTTGGAGAAGCAAGAGGGAAATAATGATAATAGATATCAACAGGTCAGTCATCCCCTGCCTGAAATCACAATGTTCAAAGCATCTCAGAAAGAGGCTTGGACTAACACCAGGGTTGCTTCTTTCTTTCCCACTGGTACAGCCATACAAAACAGTTTTTACAGGTTTTTGGTCTTATTTACGCCATTTACATTGTTTTGACTGCTCTCCCCATCTTTATTACCATATTCACAATATTTGCATACTATTGTTATAAAGAACACATTCAAAGGAATTAAACCAAATATATATATATATATATATATATATATATATATATATATATATATATATAAAGCTTAAATGCTGCACTGGGGAGGAGGAGGTTGGCAGCTCTTGATTGGGCCTTCATCAAAATAGGAAGGGAGGAGTAGATGCGAGAGGCAACAATAAACTACAGAAGAACTCAAAATTGATCACTGCATTTAAGTATTGCATTAATATTTAAACTTACCTTTTAAAAGTTCAATGATAATTTTTCTGACGCCATTTAATTTAATCTATTGTTCAAGAGATAAGTCCAACTACTGATATTTTCTCCTTCATGAGTACACCTTGGTGAATAAACTCACCATCTGGTTGGATTGGGTGATTACTCCCACCAAGTGGGTGGAGTTTCAGACATATGATGGTGATTTTTTTTTATTAATGGTCAACTATATCCACAAGGAAGTGACTCAGACGGTGGCACACAGAGCCTTGGCGGCTAACAATTGGCCTGAGAGGAATACCATCTTTATGAATTTTGGGAAGACTATAAATATGAGGTAGCTTTTGATAACGTTGCGACAACTGCCTGTATGTCTTAGGTGGGAGGAGGTCCTTGTTCTTGATTAGGATCTGTGACAGTTTTGTTTCTGTTTTCATTGTGGGGTCTTTCTTTACTTTAGCTACCATGAGGTTTTCCAGTTTTTCTGTATATTTTGATTTGTCCATCGCTACAGTCGTACTGCCTTTGTCAGATGGTAGTATGATGCTGATGATGCCATTCCTTTGTAGGGTTTTGTTTGCCAGCCTCTCCAGTTTTGTGAGGTTTGATTTGGGCAGCTTGGCTTTCTTCAGTATCTTTCTCACTTTCCATCTTAGTTCATCTGAGCCTAGATAATGTTTTATCCAACAGTTGTGCCGGATTCTTTCTTGGACAAGAGTGTGTTCTACTTTTTCTGTGAAATGACTGGAAATCTGGTGGGACTTTTCTAATTGTCTCCATATTTTTGGTATATTGGGTCCATACTGACCCTTCAAAAGCCTGTGCAGCTGTGGCAGAAATATAAAGGAGAAACAGGCTGCCCTCTTAAGATCGACTGTGAGAACATCGTAAGGTTGTAACACAAGGGGGAATAGAAAAATCAGGCATGTCTGACTTTATATAGAGGAAAAATGGAGATCACGACCCACTGTGGGATGAAGTTGAAATAATAGACAGAGAACATCATTGGAAAATATGAAAACTTAAGGAATCGGCACATATGCTCAGCTACAAAAATCTCCTAAGTCAGCTGAGCATAGACATGAATACAACATGGGAACCATTAAAACAGAGAAGAACAATAACAAAAAATTGCAATAAATAAAAAAAGAAAAGGTTACCAAGACCTTAGGTTTATAAATCCCCAAAATTCACTCACTGAAATCCCCAAGTAGACATGGATAAAAACATTGGTTGATCAATCCAAAAGTGATTTGACACAAAATGTTGTGAATTCAATCACAGCAGAGAGAACAAATTGAGTTATCAAAGAGAATTAACTAAAACTGAGATATCCAAAGGCATGGCATGTGGAATAAGAACAATCTACCCCTGAGGACTAAAATGGTTCAATTTCAAAATTTCGACAAATATCAATTGAAGAACAACGTACACAGGCAAAAACATGAATATGACAATAAAGGAGATAATAATGGAGTCTGAACAATGTAAATATTGTAAATATTTTTGATATTGTAAGTTTCTTATCATTCTATCTAGAGGGGCACGTTCATGCTTTAGTTGGAAATAAGAAGACCAAGTAGGTGTAAGCCAAGTCAGAAGAGGCCAACTACAAGGGATTGATTTTTTTTCTTTTCTATGGCTTATCAACCCTTTTGAGGTTATTTAAAACCAGCAAATATTTTTAGATTGTAAGAAGGGGGGGGGGTAATAATAATAATAATAATAATAATTATAATAATAATAATACCCTTAGTTATAGACGTCTTACTAATTAACCCATAACTTTGAGAGAGGGGAGGGAGGATAGAAGAGGTGGATTCATACCGACTTTCCCAAGGGATATTTGCATGTAAGTGAATATAATGAACCCAACTAGAATTGGGACTTACACATCCAAACTTACAATACCTGGTATACCTAAGTGGTCACTCTTAGGTACTGACCAGGCTTGATGCTGCTTAACTTCAGTGATAGTACAAGAACCAATGTTTCAACATGATATGGCCGTAACTTTTCTTCAAATGAGTTTCTATGTTAAGTTGGGGAGAACAAGTGGATGTGTACACAAAGACAATCAACAGGATTTGTGGCAAAAGATAGTAAAACTAGCATTCATGACACTTGGCAGCAGAGCTACCTATGGACAACAGTATTGTAGTTAGATCTGAGGTACTAAAGGGAGATGTTGAACAAGTGGGACATGAGGTACTACTTTATGGTTGAGTACTGACCTTATACAAATGGAATTGTAGAAAAACTCAACCACATGAGTAACAAGTGACATCAATCAAACCTGTTTTTGGAGATACATGTCACCTGATTTGGGTCTAGAGGGGGATATGGTGCTGCAAAAAGAGATGTTTAAGGCTGAGTAGAGGTAGACCAATAAAGAAAGAATTGACCAATAAAAAAAAAAAAAAAAAGGAGAGGAAGGCATCTCTATTCAAATAGGAAAAAAAAGTTTAAAGGTCAAGTGCTCTGTTGCTTGCTGCACATTGCAAATGGGAAGGGAAACAGTGAAGGGTGTGTGACCCCACCCCCCACAAAACGTTTCAGTTGAGGGACTGCCTCCATACATTCTAGATTGACAGGTTGGAATTAGGGATGAAGGATGAGAAGATGAGGTCCGGGTCCAAGAAATGCAAAGTGTCCAATGCTTACTATGTTTCTTACATGATTACGAAATGGCACAAAATGGTGTGACTTTTTAGAAAAATTTTCACTTGTGTTTGCTTAGTGAACTGTAAACATGGTGGGGTGGGACACGCATAAAGGAGCTGATATATACGTGTAATGTGATTGGTCAGTGAAATGGGGGAGGGCTATGCAAGAATAAATGGTTTCAGACCTCAAATTCTATTTTTTTTTTCTCTCTTGGCACAAGGATTGATCAATTTCAGTGTTGTTGGCTTTTGTGAAAGATAACAAAGAAGGTGGGTGATTTTTTTTTTTTTGGGGGGGTCTCATTTAATTGCTTCCTGGTGAGTGGCATTCTCTTTAAAATGGTTGCAAACACTAAATGACACACATAATTGTACCTATACTCTAAAAAGCTGCTTGCGACAAACATATATATATGAACAATATATTCCAATATATGAACAATAAAATTCATTATTTGCTCTGTAATAATAAATACACTGAGCTCTTTTTGTAGATGTTTTATTTTTTATTACTAGGATTCAATTGGATAATATACCCAACAGATTTGTTACCTTTACTATATATATATATATATATATATGTGTGTGTGTGGTGGACTCCTTCATCGTATGAGGGTCAGCAACTCAGTCCTTAAGAACGAACAGCCAGACACCAGCACATGATTTGATTATAGTTATGAAGGTTTTGTGCAGAACCAACCACACTTTTTGAAGGGTAGAATACAGACCTGGTGCCACAAGGTCTCCAAAACAACCTTCCACAGGTTTTGAATTCAGCTGTCCTTCTCCTAGAGCAGTTGCCATCCAGTCTGTCCTGATAATTACCCATAGCTGGAGGAAGAAGAAGGGGATTCATACCTTTCCTAAGGGCATCAGCTTGTAAGTGAATGTAATGGATTTGACTGGAATTCGAATGCAGCTCTCTGAGCACTCAGTCCGAGCTCCATGCCCACCACTCTACAATATAATAGTATTCGAAGGTACCTGTCTACTAGGGCAGCTAGGCAATCCTGCTTAACACCCACAGAGCCCACACATGGTTTATACTGCAACTATGCTGAGCAGTCCTTAGTTACAGTTTCTGGGAGAGAGTGTGTTATCTAGCATGACCAACAATTTGAACAAGACCAGCATGCTCAAGCCCTCGGCCATGATGACTTGTGGCTTTGTGCTAGCACAGCTATCGATGACCCTTAAGAGCTGTGCCTACACAATTTCAACCACATATATATATATATATATATATAATAAATAAAAAAATCAACATACCATTGTCTTTTGCTTGAAGAGCTTTCTTTTTCTTCTTTTTCTTATTGACTTCTGCTTCTGAGACTGGAAGAAAAATTAGCAAATATAGATTTTCAAAACAACAAGTAGGCCTTCTTATGTTCATCCCAATTAAATAATAATAATAAAACCTTGTGTGTTGTGGGGTAGAAAACAAAGAGGAGAAAGAGAGGTCCAAAGGTCGCACACTTAAAAAAAAAAAAAAAAAATACAGAACCCAACCCAACCATTTGATTTTTGTTTTGTAGCAATATCAACATCTCTATGGGTTATTTAATGCTGAAATCTAAATATTCTGTATGCAATTTTTTTTCTCTCGAGATAACTGTTTTAGTGATGCAAGTTTTGCTAATTAACCCTTGGCTAAGGGGGAGAAGAGGTGGATTCATACTTTTCCCAAGGGTATTTGTGCATAAGTTAATATAACGAACCCAACTGGAATTGGAACATGGCTCTTTGATTAACAATTCCGAGCCATTATCCATTACACCACACACACATCCAGTCTTACAGCACCTGGTATTCCCAATCAGTCACCCATCTAGGTTCTGACCAGACTTGATGTTGCTTAACTTTGGTGATCAAATGGGAACCAGTGCTTTAATGTGATGTTTCCCTAAGCCTCCCTAAGCATTAGATATGGCTTCTCTGAATCATGGGACTAATATTGAATAAGTAAATTGGATAGCAAGTCTGGTTGCTCTCATGGCTGAATTCCCTATAAACATAAAAACACTGTAAACTGCTTTATTTTGGGAAAAAAAATTTTAAAAACAAAATTTCCTCATGGGTGAAAATAATGCATGTAATATTACCAAGAAAATAGAGCAGGCCACATGACTTGCCAGGCTGTTTAGGCAACTAGACCAACATAGACATTGCAAATATTTTTCCACTTAAAATTTAAATTTCTGGAATGAAGAACTGTCATCATTTACATTCTGATGGTTGTCCTTATCTTTGTTGTTATTATCACAACACTTCAGCCGTTGTGCCCTCTGACATTCATCAGGCATTTGTTGATCCTGATAACCAAGAACTTTAAAATGGAACCTTTCATCTAATCCACACAAGTAGATTGTTCTTGTTCCGCTGTCCATATTTAGGGATCTCCTGTCTAGTCCCTATTCTTAGTAATGCTCACGCCATTTTCATTGAGTCCAAATCTACTCTACCTGGATCAAGAATTGAATTCATAGTTACTATGTCACCAAATTCACAAACCAACACTTTAATCCACTGGGACAATTCTGAGTATAGAAATTGGAGCCTTAAATCTAATCTGCCTGCTGCGGCTTGTCAAGGCTTCTCTATTCTTTCTTTCTTAATGGCTCCCATAATGTATTTTCTATGCTAGGCCCACTAAGGGGTCCTGATAACCTAACATATGTGCTGATTCCTTGAAATGTTCAACTTTTCAGTTACCTGAATTGACAAGCACCTGATGAAGGCCAGAAGTAACAATAGCTGAAACATGATTTAAAATATAAATTATTACTATATGGTTGGTTCAGGCACCAACCAAGTAAACAAATTTGTGGCTGGTAAAGCTGGGCCAATATTTTAAAGTTACGGCTCACTCTTTTTTTATTGGAAGTAGAGAATGAACTTTGGATGAGATGTAGACTCATAAACCAATATTCTTCAGAGCCTGGCACTGACTTACCAATTCAGCTAGGAAACACTTCATGAGTTGGCTTAAGCAGACAATATTGAAATGATCTAAATATTGTAGCAAAAATCTTTATCAGGGTTTCAATTTTCTAAGAATATGTGATGCTTATTAAATTTAAAAATGATTTAAATTTCATAAAAAGAGTTCTAAGAAATTAAAAAAGTTACCTTGAGTGTTTTGCAGTTTTTTTAATTTCTTTGCCTTTTTGATGAGCTTTTCATCTACAAATAAAATAAAAAAATTGATTTATTAATTGGCACACATACTTGTATATAAGCAAACTTTATGATACATTTTATCCCCCCCCAACTTACCTGTGCATAGTCAATGAAAATGCACAATTTTTAAACACCTCAAAACAAATTACCTTTGTATAGTGCAACCCACTATTTTTTTACATAAAAACTCACACTATACTCAAGCATACATGGTAAATCTTTGTAATTTATATATATAAAAAAAAACGAACAAACATTGATAAAAATTGTTTATCCTTTTATGGTTTGTTGATAAAATTGGTTTTAAGGATTCAAGACCAAATTTATATTTTGCTAGATTAACATTTCAGACAGTAGTTTCATTAATTCACTCTAGACTTAAATTACAACAACACTGCAAATTTTTTCTAGAATTTGTTTAAAAGCCCTGAGACAAGTTCGAAAAGCTTTTACAAAAGATGCAATTCACCTCTGTAGGGTAGACATCTTCAGGTTGGTTGGGGTGTGTGTGTGGAGTATACACACACACATACACCTTAAATGGCAACCTTTCTGTAGACAGTGTCTTGATAAAAAACACAGTGTACTTGGACTATCCTGAGTGGGGCATCAGGAGGAGCAGCCAACCTTGTAAAACCTCACCTCAAATTATTATGAAAATAATAAGATTAATTCTAGTCCTGTCTCAAAAACAAAACAAAAAATATAACTACATAAGTATGATGTATGAAATGATTCAGTTTTATCATTGTACCAAGAAATGAACTTTTAATTACAAAATTTAACTGAATTCACTCTTAAAAATGAACAAATACAAAAATCAAATTAGTTAAATTTTATTGTAATTTTCACTCAAAACAAACCTCACAACTTTATTTTTATTTAAAATCACCCTCAATAATTTTATAGGGAAATGTTTTTATTAATTAATTTTCAAGCTCAGAGTAACTTTTTGGATTCATTTTCAGTATAAAGAATATTAGTTAATTTCGAACTAAGTTTTTAAATTCTTTAGCAAAAAACATCTTCATTTACAATTAGATTCCTTGTATCATGACAAAGTTTTCCATGTTTGTTTGTTCTACCCACTCCCCATCTTTTTTAATTTAGTTCATGATGAGCAAAAAACAATAACACAATGTTGTTAATGGTGCATTCAAGATTTTAAACCAAAAACTGGCAGAAAAAAAAATTTCTTGCTTTGTTTATTAAAACAAAATTTTTGTAATTAGATGCTAATTTTTTTTTTGTTTTGTATTTAGAGATAAATAATAGAAATATCTAAATCATTCAAGTATTATATTTTTTTTCAGGTTCTGATTATTTTGTGTGTGGGTGTGTATGTGTATACTCCATTTAGTAAAAGCCTATTTCATTATTTGTGAAAAGCAATAATTTTATTTTAAGAAGTCATTTACTTTTAGAATAAATATAGAATTTTAATTAATTTTTTTCATTCATCTACAAAAAGCTAATGAGTCACCCAAAACTAATAGTTTCCAAGGGTGATGACGTTTATTTTGTGTGTCCTGATATACATGTTATCAGGTAATGAAAGTTTTTGTTTCATAAATTCCCATTGGCAATGTCACAAGTTACAACATAAACAATTGCCACTTTTAATCATTTTATTCTTCCACCAAATGATGATTGTGTCTATGAATAATTTATGACGGATTGAAGAAACGACTATAGCAAATGTGGATAGTGAGAGGAAATGCCAGCAGCAGGGAATGAAGAAGTGACAGATGATCAATAAAAATTACTGCTAAAAGTAAGAGGAATGTGTGAAAAAAAAAAAAAAAAAAAGGCCAGGATTTTTGTAAAGAAACATTATTTGGCTTACCAATTTCTACTTCTTCAAGTTTTCTCTTTTTTGCTAACATTTTTTTAAGCTCTGAAAATAAAGAAAAAATAAAAAACAAACATTAATCAAGAAAACAAAATAATCTCTTGTTGAAAGTTTGACAACTATGGGCTAAAGTGGCAGATATAACAATGTTGGTTTTGCTTCGTTAATGGTTCAACAACAGTAAAAATGGTCAAACCATACCCCAGACATATAGCAGAGCTAAATAGACAAACTAATGAGACTTTGACAGTAATCTTTGACCTTTGCAAATGTCATAATCCTCCAACTTTATATGCAACTGTAAGATATCAAAAATAAGTGAAGTGAACTGTTGATCTTTTTCTATGTGCTATGTTCCTTCAAGAGGTGGGCTGTCATGGTTCTCCACAACTTCCTTCCATTATATCAGAAAAGTACAAAATATAAAATCAACACCTAAAACTCATATGTAATTTTGAGAAATCATTTATATATATATATATATATATATATATATTTATTTCTAAAAGATTTTGGCTGATTCATCCTTCCATACTTGTTGAGAAGTCATGGCCACATCATGCTGAAACACCAGTTTCCGTATGATCAGTGAAGTTAAAGAACATCGTGCCTGATGACCATCTTGAAATACCAGGAGCTGCAACTTGGATATGTGGGTGGTGTAATGGATAACAGCTCAGAATTGAAAACTGAAAAGCTGAACCCCATTTAAGTCAAGTTTGTTATATTCACTTACATACAAATACTGTTGGGAAAGATATGAATCTGGATCCCTTCTCCCTCCAGCTATGGGTTAACTAGTAGGACTTGTATCAGTAAAATCATTATCATCTCCAAAAAAATTCTTATAATTTAAAAATATTTTCTGCCTTTAAATAACCTGCAAACAGTTGATAAGCCATAAAAAACAATCAATCTGTCCTTGTTGAGTCTACTATCTACAGGAGGAAGAAAAAAAGATTACTCATAACTCCCATTTTTCCTAGAGAGAAAACATCTCCACCTCCACAACAGATTGTACACTTGAGAAGGTTTAACTGAAGACAGGATTGAACAAAACAATAACATCAAGTACATGGAGAAGAGGTTTAAATATGAAATCTTAATGATTTCTGTCTTGATGCCACTTTAGGGACCCAATTCATATTTGCAATGTTCGCATGAACGTTGACTCAAGTAAAAGCAAAGTTAAACCAGTCAATTTTTAGACCGATTCAAATATAATCAGAGTTTTTATGCCCTAAAATATTCAGCCAAATTGTCAAGTTTCATAAAATTCATGTAATTTTATTGTTTTTTCAAACAGCATAAATTTCTATAGAGTTAAAAACAAAAACTGATTTAAGAAATGAATCATTAAAAAAAAAAAAAGTTTCTACAACTTACTTTTTTCTTTATTTGCCTTTTTTATCATTTCTGGAAGACAAAAGTAAAAAATACATGAGAGAGAGATTATGAAAGGCTTTCTCCATGGAGTAACATGTTGCTAGCAAAAATAGATTAATTTAATCAAGAACTATTATGTTGGAAACAAATACATTAAGTGAACTGTTGATCTTTTTCTATGTATTTATGTCCCTTCTAGACGTGGACGGTCATGGTTCTCCACAACTTCCTTCCATTATAGCTTTTAGTGATGTTGGCCTGTTTGCCATGTCTCCTAATTCCTGTTCTATTAATCATTTACACAAGCTTGTTAGGTAGGTTATTCACTGCTTTCTTGTCTTCAATACATCATGTGAGTTTTAAATTTTCTAAGCCCTCTTTCCTCATTATGTGCCTTAGAAATTTCAACTGTATCTTTCTGATGTTTAATGACTTTTTTGTTTCCATTTTCCTTAAAATTCTGTTGTTGCTCTCAAGTTCAGTCTATGGTAACCTCAGCATCCTTCTGTAGAACCATATTTCTCTCTCTTCAAGTCTGTGACAAGATTGTCCAATATTCACTGCCATATAAGAAGACCGATAACAGTTACTCTCTTCACTGATAACTTAATCAATTATCAAGCCATTATTAACAACTTTATATCAGAAAACAGCAAACAACTCAAGAAAATAGAATTTTCAGAAAATTGAGTGAAATGGCATAAATTCATCCTCTTTTTCCCTAAAAGCACTTGACAAAATGATAAATCAACTTTTGAGGGTGGGGGGAGATATTTTATTTGCCTTGGTAGCGTTATACCCAGCGTATAGTTGCAAAAGAAAGAACAAACAAATTTCAACAGGTGCGTATTGACCAATTTTCAAAATATATATGTAATACTCGATTGTCAGCATATGTAGTTGTGTGAAAAGGACTTGTCTTGTGTGGATTCATCAGTATGAGTTCACAAAGTATACACAGTTGATAGCATGAAGGTGTGCCATTGGTGAGGTTGAGCTGTCTATCTTCAAGATGCTAATTGATGCTGGTGAGATGTGTGGGTAGGCCAGATTGATTTGACATTGGTGAGATGTTAAGCCGAACTGTTCCTTGTCAGAAAGGCATGCCATTTTTATAGCTGTGGTTTTAACAGGTATTGGCTATTTTGAATGTGAGTTGAGTTGGTGTGTTGGTTGACTGAGGTCATGGTGTTGAAGATAAGTGAGGCCTGGGGTATGATTAGTGAAGCTTGATCATGTGAAAAGGTCTGCTATTTTTGGATTCTGGTTGGGTGAGAGAACAAATGAAAATTGCGCTAACCAGCCTGTGAGATGGTGTGAAAATAAAACTGGAGTGTCATAGTGAAGTCATGAATCTAGTTGCTGTTACAGTGGGTGGGCAAGTCTTTGTAAGGCATGGAGTTCTGGATTTTGTCCTGGTCATTTATAAGGGGCTTTCTTTAAGCAAATCTGATGGCGCTCCATCTGACTCATTTTTTTTCTTTAGCAGCAATGTTTATGATTAACATCTTTTATATTGTATTTTAGATTTTTGCAGTGATTTTTTTTCATGGATCGGATGTGATGCTCGAAGCACCTGTGCAGAAGACGATTTTTCTTTATTGTGGGTTTTGCTTTCTTAGTGCTCACACCTGGGCAACATGTGTAGACTGAATCCGAAAGAGAACTAATTTACAGCAGAATATAACAGTAGTAACCTCAATCCATAAAAACCCACTTTCATATGGAAACCATAACGTGACGAGGTGGTGGTGGGGTTATTAACATGTAACATATTCATTAGAAAACTTTCTGGAAAGAGATCTGTATAGAAACCCAATGTAATAATAAAACAAAATCTGAAAGCAGAGAATGTTTTAAATGTAATTTTGACTTTGTCTTTAGCTTGATATTGGACATTAAACTGAAAGATCTATGACAAAAAAAAGTGGAAAAAGTTTTCATGTGACGAGTTTCGTTCTTTAAGACTTCATCAGATGTTTACGTTGACGCAACTACACACATGCACAGAGAAGAGGGGACGAAAAATGCGCCACCTAACTTTTTCGACTTTTTGTCATAGATGATTACCTATTGTTCTTGATATATAAAAAATATATATATATATATATATATATATATGTTGTTTTCCCATAAAGTGAAAAAAAGAACAAAGACAAAACAAAAAATGTACACACAAACATTTTAGCATGGACCACATTTCTTGACTTGTACCAAAAATTGTAGAAGAGGAAAAAAAAAGAAAGTAAAATCCCTTTTTTTCCCCAGTTGTAATTACCTTTTACGAATTATTACTATCAAGCGACTTTTTCACACACAATTTATTTTTTAAAATCTAAATTAATTTTTTTTGCGAGTTTTTTTTCATAAACCTCCCATTTTCTTTTTGAGAAAATTAAGTAGTCATCAACAGCAATTCAATTATATTTGGTCAGTTGTTTAAAGACAAAAGTTAACAAAAAATAAGTGCGAAATGTAAGTTTAAAATAAATCAAAGTAAAATTAAATGTAAATTGAAAATATATAACTTTTTTACTTTATCTCTTATGAAACCTGAAACAAATATTTTTCTCTCTCAATTAACTTCAATCAACAAAAACAATTCACGGGGCAATAATTCTAAGAATAATTCCTTTCGCGAAGAAAAATGTTTGCATAAAATTCGATACGAATTCATTGAAATTTTAAAACAAAATTTCCATGTGTAGAGCGTAGATTTTCAAAAGACGTAAGTTTCGAAACAAACGGAGAGAGAAAGAAAATGAGTAAATTACGACAAAAACTAAGACAAACAATAAAGAATGTTTAAAAAAAATTATAATTTTTAACAAAGATTCATAGATGTATTCCTTGACCAATTAAATTAATCTGTCTTAATTGTAAAAAAATATTTTTAAATTAATCACATAAAATAAAATTGGACCTGATGGTGACACGTGGTTCGAATTTAACTTAACTACAAAACTTTTATAATCCACATTTCTCAAAAACAAAGAAATAAAAATTGTACAACGGCTTACTACTAAGTGAAAACAACCCTAAACCAATTACTTATAACACAATTAATTAATACTTTACTAAAAATGATAAAAATTAGATGTGCTTACTGGACTCCATCTCCGCATGATCCGCCATGATTGGCTATGAATGCCAATACGCATGCGTAAGGCAATAGTGTTGTAAGCAATGGCTTCTGGGTAAACTTCCGGGTTTAGGCCAGTATCATAGCAACCTGACAACATTGTGAGACAAAATGTTTATTTATTTCTAAATTATAATTTTACTGCTTAGTAAAGCGAATTAAATTATTATTTAGAATTTTAAAAAAAGAGAAGAAGAATTGTGTTATCATTGTCAACGAATGCAGTTTTTTTATTTTATTTTAGTGGAAGAGTCAGGAATTAAATAATTATTAATGAAAGTTCAATCATTACGAAATCTTTAAAAATGCAGGTAAGAAATCAAGGTGAAATATTTATTTAGATTGTTTCCAATAGTATGATATAATCTTTTAAAATAATGATTTTTCATTAATATTTCCTTAAGTTTTTGTTTTAAAATTATAGTAAAAATTCAATGTCATTAATGCTTTTTCAGGTTAAGTAAAAATTTGTATTTTTTGTCAATCATTTGATTTGCAAACTAAGCTTAGAAAAAAGTATTTTGCACAATATTCAGATTTTAATTCAGCTAAAACTATGAACCAGGAAGTAAAATATTAAATTATTTTTACTTATATTATGTTGTCTTTGATTAATCAAATTTGGCTTTCCTCACCAAGGCTCGAAATAGCTTCAGTTTTGTTCATTAAAAGAAGAGATTTCATTTATATTTATTTTAAAAACAGGTACCTCCACGAATTTGGTATATGTACGGTTTATTAAAATGAATTTTTAAAAATGAAAAAGCTTTCATTAGCTTTAACTTTAAATGAAAGCTAAAGGATAAAATTAAGCAAAATAATTTGGTGTATTTCAGACAAATTATATTGATTGGAATAGAATTTAATTTATTTTTTTCAGTAAAATCGATCACGTCAGCCATTTTTTAAACATTTGTAAACAAAACTTAATTTTCCGTTTAAAAATTTTGCAAAAGAATGTTATTTAAGGAAAATTATTAAATTTAATCTGATTTGAAACAAATATTACTTACTTATAATAAAATGTTGTATACAATCATTTCTTAACCATGGGGTCTTGTTTTTCTGACGTGTTAATCGATTTATTGACGGCCGATTGACCACCGAACGTGTTCATTAAATTATCTATGGTAGAGCAGACGACAATTTTCATTAGGATTTTGTTGTTGGTTTTTCTCGTAAGGGAAGACAACCCTTAAAACATGTGACCTTTTTTTAAAAAAATAGATTGTATCACTTTGTACATCCAGTCAAATCCATTACATTCTCTTACATGCTAATACCCTTGGGAAAGATATGAATTCTCTTCTCCTCCCACCACCTATGGGTAAATAGCAGGATATTTCGGCTTCTTGAGCCATGGATGGCAACTGGTCTACAGCAGAAAGAAATGGCAACCTACTGTGGGGAAAAAATCAGCCTCGTCAGTCATGTATTGAAAGATACATGATCGCCTAAACATGTATCACACATGGCACATAACTGACTGACAACCATACTTCAGAAATTGTGCATAAAAACAAATGGTGGAAATTCTTTTAAAAACATTCGAGGTCTTCAGGTCTTCTTTAAAATATATGATTAGTAAATATAATTTTACTTAATAACAATATTCCTTAAAAATGATCTCATTGAAATTGAACTTTAAAAGATTCAAAAACTTTATAAATTATTCAATTTTAAATTGTAAAAAATGAAAACAAATCTTGTAAAAATTAATTTCTCATCAAAACTTTTTTCTTTATACAATTGTCTTTAATATATATTATTCATAAAAGCAATTAAAAGCTTCTCTAATTAAATAATGTCTTAGTTTTATTGTGTTTTTTATTTAGACCGGGTCTGATTTTGCAAAATAAAATCAGTGATTCAAATTCTTCAAAAAAATTCTTCTTTTCTAATATAGTCACTAAAAATTATCTCGAATTTCTCAAGCTTTCATAAAAACAAGGGGGAGAAACACATGTAAAATAAAAAATATTTTTACCAAGATTTTCTGATGAAAAAAATTTCAAAATAATTTCATTCGTTTGTGAATAAATCTTGAAAATTTCATTAAAATCCAACAAGTATTTGATTTTTGCAAGAATTTCTAAATTAATGTCTCTCACCACAAAAAAGAAGCAAAAATTTGCTATGCTAAAAGTTAATACAACTGCTGACACAAGAAAAACAAATTTTTAATAAAAATTTTGAATGTTCTAAAAAGGAGAAAAACATTTAATTAAATAATCAAAAAATACTTTTATCCTTCCTCTTAATAATAACATAATGATTTTGATGATAAAACTATGTTTTCATTATGTTTGGAGAATGTTTTCATCATGTTATACTGAGTTTTTAGTGATCTCATGGTGGTACCTAAAAATGAAAATAGCATTTTCTACTCTTCTTAAAATAAATAATTTTGAAAAATACAAGTGGAAAATTAAGTATTATTTATTTATAGTTTATTTTTCTTTGTATTAATAAGAGTTTCAGTTGTATTTCTCAGTAATTATACGGATATACTATTCTTCTGTATACCTTCTGAATTGGCATACAATTATCTTATTCCCTGATATACTTTCTAAATTGTTATATAGATATCCTACTCCAGTTACTGCAGCTCCTGCTAAATCTTATGCCATGAAAGCGTTGAGCTCATGAGAGCCACCTTGTTCCTCCAGGTCATAAAGTGCCGGATTATCCTCCAACACCAGACTAATATGCTGGTGGTTCTGGAGAATGATGTCCTTCCAGTGGCTGCATGGCCTGCTGCAAGGTCGTTGCTAGATGGGTTGAACTTGTAGATGACTTTAGTAGGGGGTGGGTGTCACTGCAGGACAAGCCTGAGCCAGTGAACATAACATTAAGCGATGATGTGAAGGATGTTTAGCTGGTTACTTTGGTGTACTTTCTAAATTGCTAAAGAGGTATCCTATTTTCTGAGCAACCATCTATATTGTTACAGAGATATCCTCTTCTCTGATAAACCTTCTAAATTCCCAGAGAGATATCCTCTTCTCTGATAAGCATTCTAAATTATTACAGAGATATTCTCTATTCTGAAAAAACCCTCTAAACTTCTATAGAAATAGCTTTTTTCTCTAATAAGCCTTCTAACTTGCTATAGAGATATCCTTTTCTCTGATAAACTTAAATTGACAGAGAGATATCCTCTACTCTGAAAAATATTCTAAACTGCTATATGAGTATCCTTTTTTTCTGATAAGCTTTCTAAATTACTACAGAGATATCCTCCTCTTTTGTATGCTTCCTAAATTACAATATGGATATCATACTCTCTGATATGTTTGTTACATTACTGTAGAGATATTCTACAATCTGTTTACGGCTTGCAAATTTTTGTTGAATCAGAAGTGACAAACAAACAGATATTTATGACTTTCTCTAATATAAAAGCAAAAAGTAAACCTCCAACATTCTGTCATTATTTTATCACTAAAGATAATCTGCTTTTTTCTTGATAAAATTAATCAAGAACCAATTATAATTTGATTGTAATGATGTTGTGGTGGACTTCACCACATTAATTTAGATTAGGAAACAAGACTGATGTGGAAAAGGATAAGCAAAAGACATTGTTACACATAAAATATGTATTTAACAAGATGTACAATATCAAACAATGATAAAAAAGAAAGCATGCATTTAAGTAAGAAAAGTTTGAATAAAACAAGAGTTGTCTCTCTTTAACTGTATTTTTAGTATTCCAAAGTTCACTGGAAGAATGTTTATGAGAGTTTCTTATAATGACTGTTCTCAGAAGATTTTGCTGTGTAAGAAAAGATTATGTGAGTATATAAGGAATGTTCAGCATGTGAGTGGTGTGTGTGAGTGAGAAGGTTGGCACATGGTTTCAACTGTCGTGGATACGTTTGGCAGCTGAATTCTCACTAATTAGCTAAGAAAAATTCTTGCTTATATAAATTCTTGCTCCAGATTGCTGCGCGGGAAAAGTTACTCTTCACGTGCAGTCGATCTGATTGGTTGGCATTGACCAATCAGTGAGTGAGTTTTGAGGAGACTTAAGAAAACTTCCGTGATCTGTTTCTCCCAAAAGTGCACAAAATTGACTACATGAAAATAGAGCGATTACAAAATTGTCTCATTGCTGTGATTTGTAAATTGTCTATAATAATGTAGTGGTGATTTATTAACCAGTGAATGCTTGTTGTATGTGATTTGTATTTATGTATGTATGTATGTATGTATGTATGTGTGATATAGATCGACACAATGTCTACATTGCTTATGAAATATACTGACATTAGATAAATGCATTTCTTAGTCATTCACTGACTAAAGAGAAAGAAATCTTGTAAGGTTTTGTATGTAAAATTTAGTGTTTCTCGGATAATAAATATTCTCTTTGCATTAATCCTCATCCAGCTGCTTTTATTGTTTAGACTAAAGATCAATTTGTGCACACAGTGTCCATTCTTTATATTTAGCACCTTTTCTGCACAGTGAATCTGAGATGGCCAAAGCAACTGCTAAGCTGTAGATTTTTTGTTGGAGTAGCCTTCTCTTAGATCAGTGGTTCCTAAATGGTGTGGCGGAAGAAGATAGCAGATTAGGAGGAAGGATTGAAAGATGATCAAAGATTGAGAAACAGTTTCAAAAAATTCATATGCCAAAAATAAATATGATTTCAAAATTTTATATATATATATATATATATATATATATATATATATATATATAAAATTGAACATAGAGGCAACAGGCTGTTTCATGCTAGACACAATCATCAGGTGGCCTGACGATTGCGTCTAGCATGAAACAGCCTGTCACAGTGTTGACTTCTATGTTCACTTTTATATTTATACATGCTCTATCACTGATATTGAGCACTTTATCCCATAAATATAGCACACCTTAAGACTATATTTCTTCATATATATATATATATATATATATATACTGAGCAGGGAAGCAAAACCTGCAGTAAAATTGAAACTAAAGTTTCCTACCAACCTACCAAACATGGAACCATATGCAAAACTAAGATAAAACTGTCAGTTATTAATGCACACCTGTTTTCAAGAATCTTCTGGAAAATGGCTTCACAGGACAAATGGCAAAGAGTGTCAGACTTGCTTCATGCATAAACTGACCCTAAAAGCGTCCCCATCATTGTTGGTGTATCCTTTTGCATTCTGTATAATATCAAGGGAATGATAGACATTGCCAATGCCATCCAATGGAAGCCAGGTAGTCACATGAACCTGCTAGACTATGCCATGTAGGGCATTTTGGTACAGCCTATCAACATAACCTTCCCTCCCCAATATAAATAACCACAAGGTTGTTATCAAAGAAGAGTGTGGCTAAGTATTATGCAGTTTTCAAGGTTGTGTTAAGCCTGTTATTGAAGATAATGGAGGCCACATTGGATAAATTATTTGTTTTGATATTAATTATAAGTTTTATTAATATTCTTTTTCTATTAATAAGTTAATTCCTGCATAAGAAGTACATTTTGAAGATGGCAGGAACTTTGCTTCCCCAACCTGTAGAATAACTGGAATAAATTCAATAAATATTCAATGAAAATTATTGATAGGCAATCTTTGCAGAGAGTGATCAATATCAATAATTTGTTGGACCCTGAACTATCACCAATCACAATGTCTCCTCAGGGAGGCCCCATGCCTTGAGTGACTTTTGGGCCTTAAACTCAACCCAGACCTCAAGTGAAACTCATATATATGATCCATTGCTAAAGATGCTGGAAAAATGGTCAGTTCTGTGTACCTGACTCCTCATGCTATCCTCTACTTTTACAGGAGTCAGATCAAGTTGGAAATGGAGTACTGCTGCCATATATAGGCAGGAGTTACCTAGTCCACACAAGTCGTGACAGAGTCCAAAAGTGTCTCTGTGTCCTTGTGGGTGATGAATTATTCTCCATTCCCTTTCTCAGAGACAAAACATTGCAAGCCTCTCACTGCTTTATTGTTATTTCCATTGAAAGTGCTCAGACAAACCACATTCCTTAGCTCCACCAGTTCTAACCTTCATGGATAAGACCTGCCATGCCACACCCATTATAGCGAAGCACCCTCATTCCCTTTGTATTCCATTGGTGAGAAGTAAGTTCCACTTGAGTAGCAGCTTCTCATGAAACCACTGCTCTGTGTGCTCTGTTCAAGTCTAGGGTTAACCATTATCTTCCCCACATATCTGTATAAACTGCACCTCCTACTCTGTAACCCTCTACCTTGAGTGGCCTGTGGGTCTTGTACAGGCTGAAGTTCATTGTAAAAAGAAAAAAAATAAGGTAAAGCAATGATAAAATCAGATAAAAATTATAAATAACTACAATTTATTTGACAACTAGAAATTTCATGGTGAAAAGAAATCATCAGTTCATTTTCTATGCAAGGCTTTTCCCACAAATCTCCAACTCACTTCTGATGTTCGTTAGAATCAAGAATGATGAATGATATTTGATCATTCTAAAAATAATGTTGCCATCAGTGATGATAGAAAATAAGGCTATTTCATCATCCTTGAAATAAAGATAAAAAATTTCATCATCCTAAAAACAACCTTTGCCACCAGTGATGAATTTTTTTTCTTTATTTTAGGGATGATGAAATAGCCTTATTTTTTATTATCACTGATGGCAAAGTTATTTTTAGAATGGTGAAATATGATCATCATTCTGGATCATAACAGAAGACCCCGTTCCATGTTCATCCAATTTTTCCTTCTGTTCCCATATATATACTTTGAGTGTTGTACTGATCTCACATCTTAAAGAAGGTATAATTTGAAAATTCTTTCTTCTAAGATGGTTGCAATATACTCCGTATCAGATCTGTTATCTACTTTCATTAGTCTCTATGAAAGCAAATGCTTTTTATACAAATTTCACAAATGGCCTGATGATCACTTCTTTGAGTGAACTGCCAGCTGATAATTGTCAACATTATTAAAAGGGTTCACAGTTGTTTTTTTTTTAGTATGTATGTGTGGAGTGACTTTGCTTTGAATTCTGAGTTTGTTAATACACACCTAATGTCATTGTGAAAGGCATGAATCCAACTTTCGCTGCACTTTGTTCCATCTGAAACTGTGATCATTGACAGAGATGAGAGTAGGCAAGCCACTTTAGGTGCACATGTATTTGTAGTAAAGATCTGTTACCTTTATTGTCAAAAGTAAAAGTATTGGAATGGCAGGGTCAATTCCTTTGTTTTTGTTGTTCACTGAAGACATTTGGGTTTTAAAGATCAAAAGATGAATATGTGACAAGTGTTCAGAATTTCACCTTTTATTTACTGTTATCTAAATTCAGATTTGTTAAACAACTTAGGATATACCATCTTTTATATCAGATGATCCTGTTTTTAGATGAGCAAAAGTAAAGGAACAAATACTGTTAAAGTAAATATCATTTAATATTTGGTTGCATAACCCCCCCTTGCTTGCAATAACTGCATAACCCCCTTGCTTGCAATAACTGCATAACCCCCTTGCTTGCAATAACTGCATCACCAAACTGTTGTATTCTTCATTTGTGATGCTTTTCAGTTCTTGTTTGTTTCAAGGAGTTTCTTCCTTCAATCTCCTCTTCAGGAGATGAAATGCATGGTCTATTGAGTTAAGGTCCAGTGATTGACTTGGCCAGTCTAAAACTATCCATTTTTATCCCTCATAAAGTGCTTTGATATGTTGGCAGTATGTTTTATGTCATTCTCCTACTGCATGATAAACTTTCTCCCCATTATTTTGGTTGCATTTCTCTGTAAATTGGTAGACAAAATGTTTCTGTAGACTTCTGAATTCATTCTGATGCTACCATCATGAGTTACATCATCAATAAATATGAATGAACCTGTTCCAGAAGCAGCTATGCAGGCTCAAGCCAAGGCACTGCCTCCAATGTGCTTCAGAGATGAGCTTATTTGCTTTGGATCATAAACAGATCTTTCTTTCTCCATACTTTCCATCACTTTGGTAGAGATTAAAATTGGTCTCATCAATCCATAAAACTTTCTTCCAGAATTTTTGTCGCTTATTTTTGTATTTCCTTGTAAATTCCAATTTGGCCTTCAGATTCTTACTGCTAATGAGTGGTTTGCATCTGATGATATGGCATTTATATTTCTGCTCTTGAGGTCTTCTTCAAACGGTACATTGTGAAACCATCAGCCCTGCACATTGGAGGTTGTTGGTGATGTCATTGACTATTCTTTTGGGTTTTTTCCTCACAGCTCCAACAATGTTTCTACCATCAACTGCTGTTGTTTTTCTTGACCGATCTATTCTATGTCTGTTGCTCATTACACCAATAATTTCTTTCCTTTTCAGGACATTCCAAATAGTTGTGTTGGACATGTCCAATGTTTGTTCAATGTCTCTGATTGATTTTCCTTCTTTTCCCAGCTCCAAAATGACTCGATTTTCTCCCATTGACAGCTCTCTTATCTTCATGTTGGTTTATCCTTTTTAACAAGAAATGCAGTCTTTACAGGTGAAACCCAAGGTTAAAACCAAGAGTAGTCATTCAGAGCTATTTAATGTCTTAACAATCTAAAAGGCAACACCCGTGCAACAAGAAACACCTGTCAGTCACGTGTTACAATAGTTTTGCTCACTTGAAAAATGGGTGATTTCAAACAAAAGGTGGTATGTCCTAAGTTGTTTAACACATCTAAATGTAAATAGAACGAAGTAAAAGCTGAAATTCTAACCTCTTGTCTCATATTCATCTTTTGATCTTAAACCCAAATATCTTCAGTGAACAACAGAAATAAAGGAATTGGCGTTGCTGTTCCAATATTTTTCGAGTGGACTGTATATTTAAGAATGGGTAGATATATTGGTTTGGATAGGGTAGCTATATCTGGGTTAGGGTAAATGTCTTCTTTATTAACTGGTTCTGATTTTGACTATTTCAACACAAACATTTCTAGAGACCAAGCAGTACAACAGGCCCTGAGACCCGTTGCCTCGAAAAACTGAAAATTTCTCTAGAGAACAGACCATGTGAATCGACAAAGCCGGATGATGAATCAAAGTTACTTGAATCCCGTCTTCACGAGCAAACTCAACTGATTATGATTCTTAAACAAAGTGCAAATGATACAGATGCCAAATGCCAGAAACTTGAGGAAGAGAATGAAAACCTGGCAGAGGCTCGTAATAAAGAAGAGATGAAACTAAAACAGAAATCTGCAGATCTGGCCAGATTGAGTGAGAAATTGAAGACACTAAAGTCAAATTATGAAGGACTCAAAGAATTTGTTAAAGAACATAAAGAACTAAATGAAAAGCTGATGCGGGAGAAAGAATTTGTTTCAAATGAGAACAATCGTCTTCTGATGTATGCCAAAAATGAAGCAGAAGAACAAATTCAGAAACTGAGCATTATGTATGAATCATTGAAAAACGAATGTGCATACCAAGAGAGAAGTCTCAGGTAAATACCTTTTATTCTATTGCACAAATATCAGGTAAATAATTTTAGGACAAAATTATCAAGCAAATATATACATATTATAAGCAGAATATCAAGGAAATAAATTTATAGCAAAAATATCAAGTGTATGAGCTTATATGGACAATATTGGTTAAATATACTCATTTTATAAGACATCATCATCATCATCATCATCATCATCATCCCCTTGACTTTTCTAATTGTAGGGAAGATCCAAATGCAGAAGCCATACTCTTTTCTACAATGGTCTATCAACGGCAGCCATCAGCAATTCTTGTACAGTCATACCTGTCCATTGTTTGACATTGTCCAACCAGTTTTTGCATTGGAGTCCTCTTCTACATCCACCTTCAACGGTGCCTTGCATGATGGTCTTGCACAGGCTGTTGTGCCTTGTAATGTGTCCAAACCTCGCCCTTTTTCTTCATTTGACGGTGGTGAGAAGAGGTTCCTGATGGCCCACAAAACTTTCAACCCTTTTCCGCACAAACTCATTAGATTTTTGTTCCCAATAGAAGATGTCAAGGAGTTTTTTTCATGCATTTGTTTTCAAATGCTTGGATCCTTCTCTCTGTATCTGCCAACAGTATCCACATTTCACATCGATATAGGAGAATGGAGACTACCAGCGATTTGTACAGTCTTTACTTTGTTTGAAAGCTGATTTTGCTCCTCCATATTCTTGTCAATTTGCCCATTGCTGCTATGGTTGCAGCAATCTGTGTACACATTTCCAAGTTGCAGGTACCATCTTTAGACAAGATTGCTCCTATGTATTTAAAACTGGACACTTCATCCAGTGAATTCCTGTTCATGGTAATATTAACACAGGTGTTACTGTTTGTGCTATTCACCATTACTTCAGCACAAACAGTAACACCTGTATCAGCATTACCATGAATGGAAATTCACTGGAGGAAGTGTTCAGTTTTAAATACTTAGGAGCAATCTTATCTAAAGATATAAAAGGTAAATGTTATAACAAAAACATCAGGTTAATTTTATCATTATTTACATTATTTATATTCAGACTATTGTCGCCATTGTAACCACTGGTCTTCCTTCTGGAATCATATGATGCATAGGATGAGGATGAATTTTATGATTGAATCACAAGCCTTTCCATAATCATACAATCATATACTTGTAAAATATAAAATAACCAACATCTGCTACTGAGATTTGAACTTTACCTTTTCTAACAAAATGTCATCTTATTAATTTTCCATCGTAAGCCATTATTTAAAATGAAAATTCTTTGTATTTTCCAGTGATGAGAAGGTAATGATTGAACTAAAAAAAAACCAATGCAGGAAGTCAATTGCATATGAAAAGGAGGCACACAAGACGGAAATGAAAAAGCTGATGGACAGTTTACAGGTGAAAAAGGCTAACCTCGAAGGTAACCTATTTTTTTTTTTGCTGTATGAGCAAGATGAATGGTTGGCTTTCTTACAAATGTAGACATTTTTTCCTTATAAAGTCGGCATTTCATTCATCTGGAAATTTTCTTCCCTTTTTTATATGCTTCATCTCTTCAGGACATGAACAATCATTGCTCTCCACAACTTCCTATCCTTTGTAGCTCTTAGCAATGTTTATCTTTTTACTATCCTTCCCTGTCTCTGTTCTGCCATCCATTAGAGTTGATTAGTTTGGTTACTCACAGTTTCACTCTGTTCCTCTTCTCTTCAACCTGCCCTGTGAATGTCAAATTCTCTAAGCCTCCTTTCCTTATTATGTATCACAGAAATTTCAGCTCTCTCTGATTCTGAGTGTAAGTGTCCTTTTTGTTTCCATTTTGCTTAAAACTTCCTCATTGCTTATATGCTTCGTCCTTGATATTCTCAGCATCCTTCTGTAGAATCACATCTCTGTTGCCTCAAGTGTCCTTTTAGTTTGTGAGGAAATTTCAAAAGCCACTTATGATACTGCTTAAAATATGTGTTGCATGTTTTTCTGGTTGGGGCCTATGAAAATGTGTTATATAATCTTACTTATAAAACGCAGATTGTGTATGTACGTTTATATATTGGATCAGATTTCCTACATTTTTCAACCGATTTCAACAAAACTTCACAGGACTGTGTAAAATTACCTTGCGGTGGTTCTGACAGCGCCAAAAATTGGAAAAACACAATTGTTTTTGCACGAAATCAATTTGAAAACACGATAAAACACGATTCTGTCGCCAGAATGAAAGGGGGACAACTCATATCGAGTTATACTTATTATAAAACCCAGGTTGTTTGTGTGTGTGTGTGTGTGTGTGTATGTGTGTTCCTTTATATATGGGATTGGATTTCCTACATTTTTCAACCGATTTCAACAAAACTTCACTTTTTTTTGGCAGGTAGTGTTTCTTATTGTCTTGCACAATTTTTTTCTTTATTTTTACATGCAGAATGCTTTAAAAATTCCATTTACAAGACAATTGTTTATAATAAAATTCTATTCAATCGATAGACTCATAACGATTGAAAACAATGTTTTTGTTTGGGTTTGACCAATTCGTAAAAAAAAAACCCCAAAACTAATTAAGACATGTGTGTCCGTCAACCTTAAACAATAATCTTTGTTAATTTTATTTTTCATTATGATGGTCGATACTTGATCTATCTCTTACTGTTACATCCCTGGGCAACGCTGGGCTCTACTGCTAGTAGGATATATATATATATATAGGATAGAAATATGCTGCTGCTAACACTCATTTGGACCCTTGTTTACTGATTCCCCTACCAATAAGAAATGAAAAAGTAGGGAAAAATGCACTTTATTATATTTCAGTAACTAAAATAATAAATGGGAACAATGCTGTTTAACTGTATTTACATTAGTCGGACTATTGTCTTCATCTTTGCCGCCATATTTGGCGCAACGTTTCGGCCGTTGTACGCTCTGGCCTTCTTCAGGTGGTTGGAATTTCGAACTGAACCCTTTATGTTGATCACTGGGGTAGACTGTTCTAGTTCCACGTGCCATGTTTGATGGATGTCAGTTATCTCCTGCTAATTTTCCCTCTGAAAGTTCTCCACTGCCTTAACCAGGTATTGAACTCACCTTTTTTGGGTCTGTCACTGGATCTTGAGGACATCTGGGTATGGACTTCTGAGTATTATAAACCTAATGTTTTCAGCATCATTTTTACCAGTGCTCATATTGCAATTTTGCTGTTATCATTGCATGTCTTTACCAGAGTTCATATTGCAAGGACACATGTCACAGTGGATAAAGGTGTTGGTTAGATCCAGTGACAGACCCAAAAAAGGTGAGTTCAATACCTGGTTAAGGCAGTGGAGAACTTTCAGAGGGAAAATTAGCAGGAGATAACTGATAACTGACATCCATCAAACATGGCACGTGGAAATAGAACAGTCTACCCCAGTGATCAACATAAAGGGTTCAGTTCGAAATTCCAACCATCCGAAGTAGGCCGGAGCGTACAACGGCCGAAACGTTGTGACAAATATGGCGACAAAGATGAGGACAATAGTCCGACTAATGTAAATACTGTACATAATACCGCATCTCAGAAATATAGACAGACTATGCTGTTTAACTGTGTTCAATTATTTCATAAAGGTTGGGTAATATTGTGTTGAAATTCTCTGCAATTTTTACAATGGCTGACAAGTTTAAGCAAATATGCCCTTATGAAGTTTTGAATGAAGCTCAGAAATTCTGCTATTAAAATCCTCAAAATGCTCTGTCAGGCTTTTGGTGGACAAACTTTAAGTCAGATGCCAGTTTTTGAATGGCATTTCAAGGCCAGCTGTGTGTCAGTAAAAGCATTCAAGATGACTAATCGCATGCAAAATACTAGAAAATGTTGAAAATATCCATGACTTCTTCTGTGTACTGTTTCTGAAGAAACCATGTTATTGACAGGTGTAATGAGAGTATTTTTTAGGCTTAATCAGAGAAATTTCCAATACCAACTCATGTCTTATAGCAGTGATTCCCAAACATTTTTTTCTCTGGGCTGCATTTTCAGAATGAAAATTTGCTCATGCCTCACCAAATTTCTATGTGATAAAAAGTACATTTAAAAATAAAAAAACAGAGAGAGGGTTGAAGGAAGATAACCGCGGATTTGAAGTCAAAACATTATCATTGATAAATCTTTCCTCCAATTTGCAAACCCTCATTACTATATTCTTCATACTTGATAAAATCGCTCAATAATTATTTATAACTATTTCTACTGGGACTCTTGCATGCAATTACAAGGAATCCATAATAATATTTTAAATTTTGAAATCATTTTTTGTTTTTGGCATATGAATTTTTTGAAACTGTTTCTAAATCTTTGATTGTCTTTCTATCATTCCATCTCACCTGTTATCCTCTTCCACCCCCACCTATGACATGGGGGAGAGATTATGCAATCTTCCCATCTAAAACAAAACATATCACTTTACAAGCAAGCAAGATATTATCATGCCAGCCAGCCAGCCAGTCAGCCAGCTTCGGCAATAAATAAATAAATAAATAAAATAAAAATTGAAAGATCCCTGAATGTTGCTTGTCTTTTAAACTATTAATCTAGCGTTGACTGTTAAACTACTTCAACGTGATATGTTGAGCATCCTCATTTGCAACTAGTTTTTATTCTGTTACAATAATATTTAATATTCCAATATTAAACTTTATCCATTGCTGTGGTATTATAGATGGGAGACTGAACATTTGTGTTTATGTTGTATCGATTGAGTCAAAGTGAATTGCAGTAATCAAAAATAGTCATGTCTTGGTTACATTTTAATTGATAAACTTTTGTATTACTTTTCTGCAAGGATTGGAACAGAGTTTATGAAGTTAAGCTATACGATCTTCCCAATGAGGAGAAAATATCATCTTCAAAAATTGTAGAAACATTTTTATTCATCCTTTCATGCACATGTAAACACACACACACACACACACACACACACACACACACACACACACATTCATCTTTCTTTGTGATCATTGCTGTTTTCCTTCCCCTGAAGATACAAATATTTATTTATTTTTCATTTCATATCAAAATATTTGAGACTTTTTCAGGCAGTTTTTCTATTTCAAAATCAAAATGACTTACACATCCAAGTGTTTAGTTAATTGTATGAAATATCTGTTGATTTTCAGACAAATTTTAATTTCCAGTAAAGATATAAAAAGTTCTGTAGACAGACCAACTTACGGAAAATCAATTTATGAGTGGCATTCAATTTGCATTAAACATGAATTAATTGAAAACCTTTTTGCTGACTTTTGTTGTTAAATTTTTTCTGAGATTTCTGGAGTTGACAGTTTTGATTTGTTGCAGAAATGAAAGAATTTTTAGAAAAAGAGGAAGAGAAATTGCTCGCGGTAATGGCAGTTCCAGAATCTCTCCTGAAACTAGAAGCAAGAAATAAAAGCCTTTCTAAGAAATTAGATGTAATTGAAAGGTCATTATTGGTGAGTCAATTTTAGTCAAGACTTCAACTTATTTGACTGATTTTTCTTTTTAACAAATTAAAATTGTTCCAACTTGCTGGAAATAAAAATAGATATGAAAGTTTGAAAAACGTTTATCTATTTTTTTTAATCATTTCACCTCAAACAAGATGATAAAGCCACTAAGATGCAAAGGACTACTGAGAGTGAAAACACTAAGAAAATGTTCTTGAGGAGATAGGACAATAAAATAACAGGATTTAAAAAGACAGAAGATGGCGATTGATGTTGCATTTAAATTTTTGAAGATTGTAGTTGACAGGAAAGCAAGAAGCCAGAAGAGAGTTTCACAGACAAGAAGTGTGAGAAAAGGAACTATCAGAATAGAACTTACAGTTATATCTAGTGATTTTAGAAGTAAAATGATGAGACCTACCTGCCAATCTAGTACTGTGCTTGAATTTGTGAAGTTGAAGTACCAATGAGGAAAGCACATCAGAACACTTGCCATGAAACTATTTATAGAAAAAGCAGAGGGAAGTTACGTTATGATGGTAGGTAATTCACTGAAGCTGAGATACCAGTTCAGGTTCATTACTATTGCAGGTTCTTTGGATTTTGTCAAGAATCTCTAGATACATAGGAGAAGCACCAGACCAGACCAGACCAGACCAGACCAGACCAGACCTGACTTGACCTGACCACATGTAGCAGCAATACTCAATGCATGGATGCATGGTAGACTAATAAAGGTGTAAAATAGATTCTGGCAAGAAAAATTGTTGAGCACAATCCAGAGAAGTAACTTGTTTCATCTAACTGAACATGCAATTAAAAAATTTTGAAAAAAATTAATTATAGCCAAAGTGAATTCTTTTCAATCATCATTCACCCTTTATTTTTATACCAAATACAAATGCCATCAGGAATAGTCATACCAGAGGGAAATTTTCAACTGAAAATAAAATGAAAGTGAGATGTTTTCTGACATGGCATGATTCCTGGGACTAAATAATCCTATGTGCAGAGGTAGGTGGGGTGGAATTGAAGGAAATAATTTAATTTTGCCAGCACTTTTGTATTTAGTCCAAGAGACACTATTCCCATTGCCTTTGTGTTTGCTTCATTTTTGGTTGACCGCTTAACAATAGCAACAAGTAGATTGTTTGAAATTCTGCTGTATTAAGAATAAAAGATATTGGCAGTAAGAAATGCTGCTGTCATCTTGAACTCTAAAGACTCTGACAAACAGACTGATTTCTTATCTGTGATATGCAGTGATATGCAGAGTTTTGGTGATGCCCAGGGCCAACTTGATTATATGTCCTGAGGACTCAAGTAGTGGTGGGGGACCTATAGGGCCTAGTATTGAGAAATGTGAGAAAGGAAGACATTTGAGATATGTAAAAACAGATAAAATGTGAAATAAAGACTTTATTTAAATTAGATATAAACTAAGTTTTTATTTCACTCTGTGATTGGATGCTGTGCTGATGTGGATGCTGTCCTGATGTGGATGCCTGGTGGGGGAGGCTGCCACACCCATTGCTGCCCATCCCTTTCTGCATGCTTCTGGCAAGATGAAAAATATATTGTCAGAAAAACATGAACAGATAAAATCCAAAGAAGAATCAGAAATATTATTGGTCCTGATCTGACATCTCAGCTTCAGTCACCTTCCCACTGCTGTAAGGTTGCCTCTCTGTGTCTTTTCTATAAATACTTTTGTGCTAATTGTTTGGATGAGCTCTTCACTAAAAATTGTTATTTTATTCCCCTCCTCCCACAGATAATGAATTGTACATATGGGGACTAGTTAGGACTTTCATAGAGACAATGAAGTATTATGGTGGATGTAGAAAGTAAGGTAAGTAAAAATGCATTGTTTTGGTATAAGGAATATTGTGGTATGTTTGGGTCAGTGTTTGTGGCTAGCTAAGCTTAATGTTAAGAGAGAAGATGACCGTCCATTTCTCCATTCCCCATTTTTGGCCTTGTGCCACATTTTGCATTTTTACAAATAAATAATGCTCTTCACTATGGTACCAAGATTTTTTGAAATTAAGTGCAGTACTAGACTGGCATCAAGATCTCATCAATTTACAGATGAGCTGGCTAGATGTAACTGTAAATTCTATGCTAACAGTTTCTTTTCTCACAGTTCTCATTTGTGGAACTCCCTTCCGGCTCCATGCTTCCCAGCCAACTTTAATCTGCAAAAATTGAAATGCAGTGTCAATCACTATCTACTGTCCTCCTGATTACACTTTTTTCTTTCAGCTCATTATTAATGTTTCTGTTCCTAATTCTTCCAGACCATGTGATCCCTTGTGTCTTAGTGGCTTTACTGCCTTGCATGTGGTGAAACCAATTAAAAAAAAGAAAACAAGAACAATGTTTGTTATCAGCAAATGTATAAACTACATAAAATCCTTTTGTCTTTGAATTATCAAATTAAGTTTTAAGACATTTTATTGCATTGTCCATGAAATATTATTGTAAACATACATTGCTATTGCTCTTGGTCAGTTTTAACCAACTTGTCAGCTTCAGCCCACAATGTGTTTTGATTCCTGTCTTCATTGGTGCGTACTGGGAAAAGTTCAAAATGGAATGGAAGATGAAATAATTGCCATTGCAGAAAAAGAAGACACAAATCCCATTTCCAATATACTTGCCTGCCACAGTCTGTGGGCTGGTGGTGGTGTAGGCAAGTGCTATGTGAGATGTCTTTGTGGCTACTTTTTGTGATGTTGGATGGCTTTGCTTGTGACTTTTGCTATGTCAAGTGAAAGCTTGTTATCACTTCCAAAAACACATGTTATATTTGAGACTTTGTAGACACCGGTACTAGTAGTAATGCCTTCCAATGATATCTGCACTAGTAATACTTGTTCAAGTAGTAATCGCCAAATGGTATAATGATCAGAAGAGAATTGTAATCTGTATAGTAGTAGAGTAGAGAGAGTGAATGTATAGCAATAGAAGATAGACAAGAAGAGTGAACAGTGACCCGTATAGTGATAGAGGAGAAATAGTGATCAGTTAGTCAATACGATCTTTTGTATTTATTCACTCCTTTTATGTTCACGTGATCTTAATAATGGAATCGCTTGTGTTACTCACTGGTGATCTAGTTTCAAACCACAGTGTCAGCAATTACTCTTATACAACACTACTCATATCTTCTCTCTTGACAGACAATTGGATGAAATCTCCTCAGTCAGCAAGACCCTTTCCTTTGCCTGGCTGTCACTGCAACTGTCACCACATCTCAACGGATTGCTCATGACTTGCTTCTGATTGTTGACACTCTCTCCTACTACTTGTCTCTGTTCATCTCTGCATCACAACAGATGGCTTGTCTTACATCCACGGACAGCTTTGGACTGTATAGGCCTGGAATTCCCCACCTTCATGCCAAGTGGCACTTGATCCCAAAAGTTTTTATTCATTTATTTATTTTACTTCTTATTTCCTGTCTTGCGGAGGGTGTGTGATTGCTTTGAGGATTTCACTTCTGCTGATTGTCATAAAAAAACTAATGCTTCAGACCCAGATTTACAGCCTACATAACTATGGGAGTGTTCTAAGTCAATTGAGTGAGGACTCATTATCTTACATTATTTTGTGTTGTGGGGATGTGTCTGTGTGTTTGGTATTTTCATAAAGTGTTTCTAATTTTTATGTTTTACTTTTTGAACCAAATGCTTTTTTTATCACTATTATTAATTATTCTTTGTTTCACTTTCTTGGTTAAAATCTATTGTTGCTGTTGCTTTCAGTGTCACTTTGAATCATCATCATCACCGTTATCATCATTATCATTATTAGCATCATCATCTTCTTTTGCTTTCTGTTGAGCACAACACTTCACTGGGTCATTTACCCAAGACTTGGTGCGGGTGGGAGTCAAAGCAGTAAATATATTGCCTTCTGCCTGCATAAATTCTGATGTTAAGTGACACTTGACATTTGCTGTGTTTATATTTTCTTTCCATTAATCAGACTCTCTCCTGAGTAGAAGATTCAATTCCACATAGGAAGATCAGTATTTATTTTGCCATTTTCTTTCACACATATATTTTCATCAGATCATGCACTCTGCCATATAATTATCTTATTTATTTCCTTGCTTCTCATTGGAAGACCAAAGAATATTTAATTGATTTTTTCCTTTTTTCTTTCTTTCCAGGCAGAACAACAGAAAAATGAAAATCTCCAGCAGATAATTAACCAGTTTGGAATAAAAGTAAAAGTTTTGACCACAAAATTTGAGTGAGTGAATTTGTTTTTGATATTTTGAATATTAAAGAAATTGAAAGTAATTCTTTCAGTTTACTTTTATACTGGAAATGGTAAAGAGCCAACTTCCATCCAGTGCTGCAGTAGAAGGCATTGCTTTGTCTTGGACAGATGTTCACTAGGTGTGTGTGTGTGTGTGTGCCTGTATAAGGCACGGCTGTTATTGAAATGTCCAAACAAAACAAACAAAATGTCATGCTTATGTCAGTAAGAAAGCACTTTAAAATTTCATTTACCCGTAAATGATCATCACATATTTTGAAAGCCATATTTTTCAATTTTTTTTTTTTACTTATCATTATATATATATATATATATATATATATATATATATATATATAAATATATACAGATTGTGTATATTTAGGCAGCAATTTTTCATTAATGCATGTTTCATTAAATAATATAGACAAGTTTTGTCTATTTATTTTAGGTAAGTTCCTTTCATATTGTCTGATAAGCTTGATAACATTATCATTGAAAGACGAAAGGAAAATCACCATATTGAGTCATGTTTAAATCCAATCTAATCTTTTGGCTTACATAAGCCATTATCAAAGATGACAATTTCAATAAATCAAACAACACACAGACGAAACTGCAATAATAGTCCACCCTTGTTGATTGAAAATTTCAAAGTAACGACAAACTTGAATATACGAGACGCAGAAGCGAAAATCGTGTCGCAGCTCATGACGTCACACATGACCATGTGAGAGTGAAAAACAAGAAGTATTAAGTATGGGAAGATTAATGAGTCAATGTGTGTGTGTGTGGTTACCATTTTTTTTTGTGCTGATGAGACAGAAAAGTACTGGGAAGAGGGAAAAAAGTCAATTATGTCCTGACCCCAAAAGGAAGAGGTATTGAGCAAAATTTCATGGGAAAATTAGCTCAGGGAGAGGTGTTGTAATGTAATGTCTCACACTCCCTATCGTCTATGTGGAGTGACTATATCAGTAGCTATATATAATGAGCATAGGATATACCTGGTGGCTTGCTTTGGCAATTAGTTGGAGACTCTTCTCCAACTGTGCTGGTCGAACTCATTTCCTTTGGGCAGAGAGGAGCCCAGATGAGGCTATGCTGAAGGGCAGAGTCTCAGCTGGGGTAGCAGACAGCTACCTAAACCCATGTATACGGGGTTTATGGGGAATTTTTGCCCAAGCCTATGGGCTTAGTTTGCTCCACATTATGAGAGGAGGTAAGGCAAATAACCTTGCATCAGCAATTAGTTGGGGATTCGTCTCCAGCTGTGCTGGTCGGGTTTTCTGTGTTTGGGTGGAGAGGAACTCAGACGAGGCTGTGCTGAAGGGCAGAGTCTCATCTGGGGTGGTAGCTACCCAACCCTGTGTATACGGGGAATTTTTGCTCAAGCATACAGGCTTGGTTTGCCCCACATTAAAAAACGGTCTTGTGCCACATCCTGTCTTGCAGGGAGGTAAAGTAAATAACCTTGCTTCAGGAATTACTCCCTGTCTTTCAGTAGTGTATTCTCTTTTACAATAAACCTCTCTTTCTTTCATCTATGCACATGTTGCTGTTCTTTCACTCGAGTACCACCTTTGTCTGTTTGTAACCTCTTTAAGGATACAACATATTTCTTGATAATAATGGAATCTTTACAGTCTTTTCCTGATTTTCTTATTCTGCAGACAACAAGCTGCAGACATACAGTCAAGAGAAGACGTGAAAGAAATGCAAAGTAAAGTTGATGAAGCTCACCTTCACTTGGAACAAACAAAAGAGGTTGGTTTGATGTTTCTTCTTCAAAAAAAAAAAAATACTTGAAACTATTTGTCAGGAATTTTTAAAAAAAAATCAACAATTGTAATTAAAATTGGTTTATTGAAAAAAAACAAAAAACATTTTGCAGCTTCAAATTGTTGAGGGAGAAATTTTAGTCAGAGTTTGTTTAAGAATGTCAATCATTTCATTCATTATTTCTCTTTATTCAAGACATTTATTTATTTCTAAATGGATGTTTGCTTTCATCTGTCCTGCCCACCTTTCATGAATTTGGCTTTTTGAAAGTAAATTCAGATAGAAAATAAACAAACCTACCAATTTTCAGTTTAAGTTAGTAGTTACTAAAATCTCCTGAGCAAATTTCTTTATTTGACTTGACTATATAACAAGAATGAGTAATTAAACCAAGGTTGACTGTAGCTCAAGGTCGCATCTTTTGAAAGATTGTGCTCACTTTCAAAAGCTTGCAAGATCTGCATGTGCAACTGCACTATTTTTTAAACAATATGATAAATTCTCAACCAAAATTAAGAATGGGTTTCTACCATTGTCATTAAAATGTATATGCCTTATAAGATTTTACAAGCACATAAATACACTCTGTAAAAGTAAGTCACATATAATAACACATTAAAACAAGAATGCACATAATCACATACAATAAAATTCTGGTAGAAAAATATTTTTATTTCTGTAACAATTTTCTTGGTTGATTTTCTGTCATTTCAAAATGCTTGTCATATATTTCTGTTGTTAAAATCATTTGAAATTTATTTTGATTGTGAAATTATGCATTTCTATAGGCAAAATTATTGGCAATGTATTTCTATAGTAAAATGGTTTTGGCATTGTTTTCCATAGCAATTTTTCTTACAAAATTTTTCTGCTTCCAATAATTTTTAGTGCATTTTCAATTTTATTTTTTCATGCAAAGATTGACAGTGTATAAATAATGACAATCATTCATTCAAGAAATGTTTTATCTTCTCTTGAACCAGGAAATTGCCAAATTCAAAACAGAAACACAGCAAAAATTGCAGCACGAGAGGGAACTCAATCAAAAACTGCGTCATATTCACTGATTACAGACTCTTCCAGCCAACTTCTACTGATGCAGTTGCAATAGAATAGGAGGAGAAAATTGCAAGACAAAGAAATGAAATGATTGTCAAACAGTAAATAGAATTTGTTTTCATTTTGGAAAATGAAAAATCTTCTTTCATTGGCCACACCCAGAATAGAATTTAGGGAACTTAGATATTAGGTTGAAACAAGTGCAAGGTTGTCAGTATTTAATTGAAATGTTTCCAATCTAACTGATTGGATATTTCAATAAGGAAACCTTTCAATGTGAATAACTGATGAATAATTCATCATGATGTGTGAGGGGTGGGGGTCAGTTAAATGTTCTTCTTGAAACCAACACAGAGATGAGGATATATATATATATATATAGATGAGGTGGGAGTCAGGCCTCTTCTTTTTGGATTTCTTTCTTTTTCAAAATATGTGCCAAATAACTTACATGAAAATTAAAAAATTCTACTTTAAGTTCTTCATTTTGTTGTTGATGTCATTTTTTTCTTCATTTTTGAATTCCTTGTTAGAAATGGTTACTGCAGATCAAGTGTCGGTGGATCAAATGTTGCAGGAATCAACATGGAGGATCAAGTGTAGGGAAGCCAAGTATCTGGGGATCAAGTGTTGCTGAACATGGATTAGATGATCAAGGGTATGGAAGTCATGTAGTTGGGGGACATGTGTTGGTGAACATTTATTGGAGGATCAAGGGTAGGAAGGTCATGTAATTGGTGATCAAGTGCTTGTGAACATATATTGAAGAATCAAATATAGGGAAGACAAGTATTTTGTGATCAGGTATTTGTGAACATGTATTCAGGTATCAAGTGTAAGGAGGACATGTGTTGTGGGATCAAATGTTGTTTCTTTTTAAGTTGTCACCTTTTCTGCTTCCTTCTTACCAAACTGACAATGAAATTTACTTCTTTCAATTCTTCTTCAAGGAATTTTGGAGTTATTTTGGTGGACCAAAATTTCGCAAGTGGCACTCAAGTTTCACTCAAAAATTTTTCCCAAGTGGCACTTAAAGTTTCACTCAAACATTTTTCTCCAAAAATATAATTTCAAAATTTAATTCTTGGAAGCAATTGGATGATTAACAAATTAGATTAGAAATTCTGCAAATATTTAAATGTTTTCACATTAAAATGATAGGAATAAATATTGAAGTATTAATCAAATGTAAAATCAAATTTCCTTTATTTGTTAAACAATTATTGAGACTATAAATATATATAAATATATATTTATCAGAAAGACTTTTTTTTAGTTCAGAATTGGAATTATTTGAAGAGTTGGAACTTAATTCTGAAAACAATTCATTAATTGGTGTTAGGAAAAAAAAAGAATAGTTCAGGAAGACTTTGTAGAGACGTAAAGGGTGATTATCCTTCCTTTGAGTGAGGCAAAGTCACAAGGGTCATGTGACAGCTGGTAAGTAACGCCAACTCATACAGTTACTTTTTATCATGCCTGATGACAAGACATCTCTGCTCACACCAATTGCTGTGTATGCTGTGAAGAAGACAGATGTCACAAGCACACAGCAGTAGAGTGAACACATGAATCCACATAGCACATAATGGACACCACTGACCTTTTTCCCATTAAGAAAAATTACAAATTATTATTAAATATTACTTTCTCTTTTTACTTCTTTCACTGTTGATTGATTATATATATATATATATATATATATATATATATATATATATATATATATATATATGTGTTATAGTTTCTCTGTGTGGGACAAATTAGTGATAAATATGTGTATATTAGTAAAAAATCTCTTTGAGAGCAATGCATATTAGTAATTCTATTCTTTCAGCTATTCTGTTCTGTCTGTGTATTAAGGTGTTACTACATCATCGATATATTAATAATGGGGAAATGAAAATGGGAAATATTCCTTCTTGTCTTGCACTTCCATTAAAAAAAAGAATTTCATAAATAGCATCAGGCTGTTATCTTCTGGTGAGTTGCCAACATGTAAAAAACATAAACCCTCTTTTAAAACTTTTGTTTCAATAGTAGCATTAGTTTTATGCTCCTCTCATGTTTCTTCATGTTTTATTTCTTTATTTATTATTATTATTATTATTATTATTATTATTATTAATGGGGGTAGTGATGGTAGCAGTAGCAATCCCAAGGTATATTTTTGCAACAGAACAATAGAACTCATTTATTCTTCATTTAGTTCAATAATGCAGGGGTGAAAAGGCAGCAATATGTTGTGTACTTTTAAATAATATCTTCTTATCTGTTTCCGTATTGTTATATTCTGTGCTAATAGGAATATATATTTGAAAAACAATGTGGATAAAATAAGTAAAGGTTTATTGTAAAAAAACAGTACAATAAGAATAAAGGTAACAGTTATGCACAAGGTCGTCACAAGTCAATCCAGTAGTGAGTGCTACTATTGGAAGTCTGAGTCGTACTCAACAGAACTCTGCTAGTAATATTTACCAACCTCCCCACGGGGTAGGATGTAGCACAAGGCCGAGATTAATGTGTGACAATCTGAGCCCGTAGGATCGACCAAAAATTCACTGTAAACCCCGCATAAACGGGTTTGGGTCTGTCTACTTCCCCGGATGAGACTCTGTCCTTTGGCATAGCCTCGTCCGGGTTCATCTCTGCCCGAAGACAAATATTTCGACAAGAGCTGAGTAACAGATCCCAGGTACTTACTAGCCCCAACCACGAAGGTAGATGTGGCAAAAACGGGATCGGGTTGGTCAACCTCCCCGAACGAGGCTCTGCTCTTCAGCATAGCCTCGTCCGGGTTTCCCTCTGCCCGAAGGTGAAGAGTTTGACCGTTTAGCTGGAACAGATCCTAGCTAGTCGGTATTTACTAGCACCCATTACTAGGGTAGATGTGGCACAAGGCCGAGTTTAACGTGGGTCTTCCGAGCCCGTAGGCTCGGCCAAAAAATCCCTGTAGAACTTCGTCCGGGTTCATGTGGCACACAGCCGGGTTTAACATGTGTTCTGCGAGCCCGTAGGCTCTGCCAAAAATGTTCCCTTTTTGAACCCGCATAAACGGGCTCAGGGGCAGTGTACCTCCCCGAACGAGACTCTGCCCTTCGGCGGAGTTTCGTCCAGGTTCTTCTCTGCCTTCGGGCAGAGAGTTCATCTGTTTAACTGGAACAGGTCCCTGTAGTCTGTTGACTTACAGATACTTATAGGTAGTTACTATCTTTAGTATAGTCACTCATGGGGGTGACAGGTTATTCTACTACATCACATATATTTTAATCCACTTGATGTAAAAAAAAAGGGTATATTTTCTTTTTAAGGACTGAAAAAAGATTTTTCTTCTGTTTTTCTGCTCAACTCTCACTAGATGTCACTTTAACTCTGGCATCCCACCATATTTTGGCTTTGGGAAAGTAACATTGTGGCTAAATACTGGTAATAGTATTTATAATTCAAATCTGTTGAAAATTTGACTTTTGGTCTTTTTATTTTCATTGAATGGCATAGATTTTTCCTTCCCAAAGAATTATTAAGAAATCTGTGCATATTAAAGTAACTCATAAAAGTAGTGTTGATATCTATTAGAGGAATGGTAAAGAAGCATGATGTATGTCCGATATATATAATTGTGTATTTGGGAATTAATTCCTTTTTGATACAAGAGTTTCATTTATGACAACTGACAACGTACTACAATTAAGCTTTTTATTAAGTTTTTCTTGTTTTTATATAAGTGATTTATTTTATGGACATAAAGTGTGTTAAAACTGTCTAAATGTTCTGTATATTCGAGTTTTTTTGACTATTCTATTAGCCATTTTCAAGGATGATTTTAAAAAAAAATTAACTGAATGTGTAGATTTGATATATATTTATAGAGTGATGGGAATGATTTTTTTTTTATTTTCCAAACATGGTCAGCACATATTGGCCATGTTCATAATTGATGTTATGGAGTTTTGTTTTTTCTTTTTATTATTAGTACTTCCATTATTTTTAGTAATTCTTTACATGTGGACGAGGCTATTATATTTGTATTTTCTACAAAGCATGTTGCAGATGGAGTTTGGTAGGCATCTACATGCGTTTAAACGAGTCCTAAGTGAACTATGGTCAGAGAGCAATGTAACATGGATCTCCTCGATAGGCATGTAGTTCCTTAAAAGACAGTTGAATTCATAGATTATATTGGTTTTCTGTAATTTCGATCTTGAACAGTTTTTACACACTTTGTGCCCAGAAAAGAAATCACTTATATGAACACAAGAAAAATTGAATAATAAACTTAATTGCAATACCTTGTCAGTCATCTTTTATGAAACTTTTACACACACACACATATTGTTGTAATATATCCTAAAATAAATAATATAGAGGCATAAACAAATAAGTTTAAAGTGATGCCAAACTCTTTATTAAAAAAAAGAAAAAAAAATCTTTTCAAAAGTTTTTTTTCTAACAAAAACTCATTCAATAATAATTTGTTATCTATGAAATAAGATAGATGTCTACACAAATTGTTATACAGTTTTTTATAGGATTGACTGTAATGGCCTTAAAACTATTTTATGTTTGAAGTTTCTATATTTTTGTCCTTAAAACAAAAATTTGGTAACTTAAATTAAAAAAGGAAAAGAATAAATGGAACTAGTAAATCTGTTTCATCAGACATTTTGATGTTTGTTTAAATTGTGTAAACATTGAATAAATATTGACTGATTAATTATAAGAAGAATGATGACATTAATTTCTAAAAATTATTGCCTGATTGCAAACAGATTAATTGATAATTGTTATCTTGAAGAAAAACCTTTATTTAGCCTTTCTTGGTGAAGAATTCTTTAACAAATGGCCACCAATAAAAAAGAATAACACAAAAATTGTTTCTTGGCTTTAACGAAACAAAATAACCACTTTTAATGAAACTACACAAAGAGAATTGAAGTGAGAAATTGATTTATTTCCGTTTAGTTGATTGTTGACAAATTCTTTGTGGGGTCATTTTCCTAAAAAA